TTAACATTTATGGAAAGCCATTAGCATCCTTGAAAATATTTTTGTAAAAGTTATTTTAAAAGGCATAAAATGTTGATTCAAATCATTCATATTTTCTATTATCATGGGAGATTACATGTTCTTGATGTGGAGTTTATGAAAAGTCTAGAGTACTTGAATATTTGCTTTTGAATGTATTTCATTATAAGGCTACAAATGGCTCTCCATAATATTTAAGTCCAACTTAAAGTTAATTTTGACTTGGAATCTTTGTGAAACACCCCCCCCCCCCCCAGGTCTGCCTGTACCTACCTTCTTCTGGCCCGGATGCAGCTTGGCCTGCTGCTGACGGTAGAACTCTTGTTGCTGCTGTGGAGTCATGTTCTTGAGCTGCTCCTGGAGACGTCTCAGGACATCCTGCTGTTGAGGTGTCAGGTTCTGGAGCAGAAAAACAGAAATATGTTTATCTTTAAAGATAAAGTTCAGTTCTAGTCATGCGATTGCATTGTGGAAGAAACGTTTTGGAATCGATCAGAAAAGGTTGATCATTTAGCATATAAGTAATTGGTGTGTACTGCAAGGTTCTCGAATCATCAAAATGATAACAAATTTGGTCACGTCTTGGTAAAGTTACAAGCACTGTACACAGAAAGATAAATAAGGGCCAACACAAACATGTGGCATACAAATCGGGCCTCATTTTTAAGCTGTTACTTGTCATATATAAAATATGAAGGCATTTGAAGAGCCATGCTTTTCAAGGAACATTTTTCCACACTTGCATAATAACAATGATTATGATAATGCTCACATATTATTTTTCACCTCTCCCTAGAACTCAACCTTCTCTGAGTTGATGCTCTTGTGGTAATAACTAGACAGTTTAGAAGAAAAAAGGGAGCAATAAGAAATAACCAACCTTGCCCACCAACTGAACAATATTTGTGGTGAAGATATGCTGGAAGGTGCTTGCTGAGCTGCTAGCTCCTGGTATCTGTACCCCTGGTACCGGTACAGGTATACCGGTAGACGAGGAGGAGGAGGAGGCAACAGGTTGGTCGGACCCCTGGGCCCCTGCTGCTGGGGCAGGGGTTTGGGTGGTGGCTTGGGCTGCAGCGGCGGCTGCTGCTGCAGCAGCTGCGAAGGCAGATGACACTTGCTGGTCGGTGGTGGCGGCGGTGGTGCAGACCTGAAAAGGATAGCAGTGAGAAGTGGTAATTAATAATAATGAAGATAATGATGATGATGATGATGAAGATGATGACACATGATAAGATATTGTACTTTTAAATGTAAGCTTTAAACCTCGTCTGCACTAGTTTGGCTAGAAGGGATAAGACCACACAGAAAAATAAAAAGAAAAAAGAGGATCATGGGGGAATAACAGGCACCGATTGGGGAAGTTTTCCATATAGAGGGAGCAAGTAGCTACAAGTAGTACATTGGGCTTTAATATGCAACATTCTCAAGAAGCATGAATGGGAACATATTTAATTTTCATGCACTTACTTGAAAATTGCAAAACTTGGTAAGGGTATGAATTGTTTGGTTGCTAACTGATGTATAAACAAAAAGACACCCCCCCCCCCAAAAAAAAGGAATTTGTTGTCATACCTTGTATTGTCCTGTAGGTTGGCTAGATATAGCAGTAACTGCTGCGGGTTTAGGAATGTTGGGTGTGGGCGCTACAGGCCCGTATGACTGCAGAGTTGTACCTGAAGTCCCTAGATTTGAGGGGGCCATAGCAAAAGTCCCAGAACTGGCAGCATTCTGAAAAAGGGAGTAATGAAAAAGTGTTTGATAATGTAATGTTCCATCAATAACTTTCCTCAATAGGACATTTTCAAAATGTGACCGAATTTATACTGAAGTGCATTGATGCAAGTATTTTATTCATCTGTTATGAATAATTGTATTTCCACAGTCAGAATGCATATATCACATGTTGCTAGGTAAGGCATTCATAACGGTTGTCCTACCAAGCAACCACCAATATATTCAATTTGAATTCTGACTATCAAGACACATTTATTTGTAACAGGTGAATGAAAAAATTTATATCGAGGTGCTTCACAAAGGTATATGCATCAATTTAGTTACCTTATGAGAATGGTCTTTTTCTTTTTTATATAATGTACAAAGGGCAGACACCACGACATGCTGCATCTGACACACAACAGAATGAGACGTCTTGACAATAGCTATACAGTGTATAAAGAGGCTGTCATACAATGTTCAATGTAATGACAAAAAAAATTCTGGATACTAACAAGAAAAATTACTAATGTCTAGCAGATCACCCATTAAAGTTAAGACACAACACAGCTCATTAGATAATCTGAACACAATTCCTGCAAGTGACATTATGGTGTATTCAAATTACATTTATTGCATTTTTTAAAAGTCATTGATCATTGTGTTTCAGTGAAAAAGCCCTGTTATTTCCACCGAGAATAAGGACCATTCTCATTGGACTGCCTGATCTTGAAGTCTATTCCATGACACAGCAGAGTCATCAGCCACAAAGCTGCCAATCGTCCCTATTTTAAAGGAATGATTCCTAGTTTTTTACCCTAAAGCTAATGATATGAACCCCAGATTCCTCTCTTTTTCTGAAACCTTCTGTGTAAAAAAGTATACAAAATGACTGAACTCTTACTTTTGCCTCAAGGGATTCATCATTTTTGCTCTCTACGGTCGTTCCCTACGCCTGTAGGCCTATTGTCGATCCCAACATTATCTGTTATGTGATATTTATGTTGTATTTTTGTTTGTCTTTTGATCGTTTTGTATTTTTATCAGATTGTGGAAATAAACTTGAATTGAATTGATGTACTCACCTGAATACCACCATCAGATGCCGTGACCTCCACCTTGACACTCACGACGTTAGGTAAGGCAGTGGCAGGTGCTCGCCCAGCGAGGGCACCACCACCTCCAGCTCCAGTCCTGGCTGGAGGAGGAGGTGCAGTGGTGGTGTCTGACGACGCCTCCAGCTTGGCCCTGGCCTGGCTGTTGATCTTCTGCTGCAGGTCCAGGAGCTGCTGAAGCATCGCCTCTTGCTTGGGGGTGCGGTTGACGATGCCTTCTAGCTGTCGGATGAACCCTTGGACGCTGTGTAGGCTCTGCTGTGTCTGGACACTGAAGTGGGAGGTTTTGGCCTTCTGAAAAAGTCAACCATTGAAATATAAAGCCCCACTGCACTAGTTACAACTACTTGCTCCCTCTATAAAAAGCAATGCCTCATCGGTGCCTGTTGGTCCCCCATGATCCTCTTTTTCTTATGTTAATTGAGATCTGAGTTGATGAGATAGCCACCTGTCAGTAACCACCCTGAGTGGTCTAATCCTCCTAGCCAAACTAGTAAAGACAGCCTTTAAACATGAATTTAACAGTAATTTCATGAATGAACACATGTGTGGCTATCTACTTTGAGAAAACATAGATCTAAATTCGATCATTCAATTGCAAATAGTTAGCGCCTTTTATACATTTCTCTTCGAGATAATTCTCAATTTTATCACTTGTTCCAATTCTCAAAAAAATTATCAATTTAAGCTGCATATTTGTTCTAGCTTCGCTTTTATACAATAGTACAATGAATATATGCATGAGTGTCTATCTACTATCTACTTTGAGAACACATAAATTGAAATTGGATCATTCAGTTGTTATTAAATAGTGCCTGGGGTAAAATTGAGAATAATCTTAAAGGAGAAAAAATAATGAATAACAATCAAATATACTGTACATAGAAAAATGAAGACTTAACACACAACAAGAAAATCTACAAAAAAAAAGGGTTTTTAAATTATAGGAGACAATACAAGCTTATTTTTTTATTCCAATTCTATTTAAACAAAAATCCATTTAAGCTTATTATTCTATGCTAGCTTTAGTTCTTTGGTAACATAGGACGTAGGTTTGAAAATGTAACAACCGACTTTGCTGCCTATAGGTAAAGGCACCCCTTAAATGATATTCATGAGAGGTTTGAAAATGTAACAACTGACTTTGCTGCCTATAGGTAAAGGCACCCCTTAAATGATATTCATGAGAGGGAAATGTAGGACAGACCACACACAGAAAATACTTACCGCTTTAGGCTTGAAAGCAGTACTGGTTGTGTGCTGGCTCTGTTGAAGCTGCTGCAGTCTTCGGCTAGCCAAGTTGGTGTCCTTCTGCAAGGTGCCCCCAGCATTGATGGATGTTGCTGCAACCCTAGGTGTGGTGAACTGTGTTTGGGCTCCCTGTGTTTGGTCTCCCTGAGAGGGGGCTGTTGATGCTTGACTGCTTTGGAGGCTTCCTTGTGGCACTTGTCCGGGCTGGTGACCCTGAGACATGACTTGACCTGCTTGGAAACCGGGTTTCTGATTCATTTGGTTTGAAGGGAGCTGGGGTGCACTCTGCAGCATTCGACTAAGCTGGCTACCCTGGGACACGCTGCTCTGAGATACCGACAGCTGACCAGACTGCGATGACATTTGATTCGCCTGCGATCCGGCAAAGTTCATCTGTCCTGGAACAACTCCTTGTGTTTGAGCCATCGGGTCAATCTGAAGAACAGCCTGGCCCTGGGTTGCTGTCTGCTGCACAGGAAGAGGCTGGTGATGAACCGTTCCAGAACCATTCCTCCCTCCAGACGTCTTCCGAATGAACTTGTTCTCTACTTTTACAGGTACCGGATCCTCATCGTCAAACTCAAAGACATCTTTTTCCTTAGTGACTGATGGTATCGTTCCTAGTGGAGCCTGTTTTTGTGAAGGAAGAATAGACACGTTCGGAGGAGCTTGTGGGGGAGGAAGCATCACCGATATAGTATTTGGGGGCAGTTTCTTTTTTGAAGATGAAACCACTGGAGGTTGACTTTGATTTGGAACAAACGTCCCTCCTTGTCCAGGTGCAAGTCTTTGCATTCCATCCTTCTGTCCAGTATTCACAGCCTGAATGGTGACATTGGGTGTGTAATTGGGGTTCTGATTTTGAAGTCCATCCGATGCTCTAGGAACACTGTTGGTGCTGAAGGTGGTCGATCCAGGTCTCATGAACTGCTGCATATCGCTTTGTCCCGTAGAGGATGGTATTCCACCTGGTCTTGTGTTACGAGTGGCATTCTGGGTCGCTTGCAAGATCGAGGACGCTACCAATTGTGCTTGATCAGCACTTGCAGAGAGATTATGTTGCTGTTGTTGTTGATGAAACTGCGGTTGACCTGCAACACCAGTTTGTTGCATTTGCTGGAATGAACCTGAAGGCATTGAAGCACCCATCTGTTGTTGCTTTGCCATCTGCTGTTGCTTGGCAAGCTGCTGCTTCTGCTTGAGATGTTGTAACTGCTTCATCAAATCTGGATGTTTCTGCAAGAGTGACTGAAACTGCTGCATGTAATGAGCTTGCTCCTGTGCACCAGATTGACCCTTTGCTTGGGCTGCCTGAGCCTTTTTCAAGAGGTCAAACGCTTGTAACAGCTGGGGCATCATCTTCGTGGAAGACTGACCGGCTTCTTGTCCAGGTTGTACCGACTGGACTGGAGCGTTTGATTGCATCATCTGTTGACCGGATGCACTCTGTTGTACATTAAGTGACATTGGAGCATACATTGGTTGGTTGCTCTGGATTACCTGGCCGCCACTGTTCATCATGCTCTGCTGACTTTGTAACCCTTGAGAACCCAGGAGATGCTGGCTTTGATGAGATTGCACAGGCATGCCTTGTGGACTTGGTAACTGCTGACCTTGTGGGCTTGGTGAAGGATGACCAACGCTAGGTGGACGTGACATCTGTCTGCCCTGAGGGCTGGGTAATGGTTGACCAGCGCTTGAAGGGCGATGTGGCTGCATGGCTTGAGGACTCTGTATGGACTGCCCTGCACTTGGTGGGCGATGAGTTGGCATTCCTTGTGGACTCGGCAGAGGTACACTAGGAGGGCGATGAGACGCGATCCCTTGTGGACTCGGCAGAGGCACACTAGGAGGCCCATGAGACAACATCCCTTGCGGACTCGACATAGGTACACTAGGAGGGCGATGAGAAGGCATCCCTTGTGGACTTGGCATAGGTACACTAGGAGGGCGATGAGACGATATCCCTTGTGGACTCGGAATAGGTACACTCAGAGGGCGATGAGACGACATCCCTTGTGGACTCGGCATAGGTACACTAGGAGGCTGATGAGACAGCATCCCTTGTGGACTCGGCATAGGTACACTAGGAGGGCGATGAGACGCAACCCCTTGTGGACTCGGCATTGGTACACTAGGAGGGCGATGAGACGCAACCCCTTGTGGACTCGGCATAGGTACACTAGGAGGGCGATGAGACGACATCCCCTGTGGACTCGGCAGAGGTACACTAGGAGGGCGATGGCTTTGATTGGATTGAGGGCTTGGTAGTGGCTGACCAATGCTTGGTGGTCTGGAGATTCCCTGTGGAATTGGCAAAGGTTGTCCAGCACTTGGTGGATGAGATATTTGGCTCTGGTTCGCAATTGCCTGAGCTTGCATTTGACTGGCTTGTGCTTGATTGGCCCCCAGCTGCCCTGAATTTTTCCTCTGTTGAAGTTGCAAGAGTTGGTTCATCAGTGCCGTAGTGTCAACTCCAGGATTTGCAGCAGCCATCTGTCTCTTCAATTGCTGTAACTGCAGAGCACTGACCATTGGTCTGTTCTGAGTGCCTGGCTGTTGCACAACGTTCATACCTTGACCTTGACGTTGCATTTGTTGTTGAACTTCTAAAGCACTGATCATAGGCTGCGTTTTAGCAGCACCTGCAACATTCATGCTCTGTCCCTGAAATTGACCAGGATTCTTGAGCTGAAGTGCGCTCATCATGGGTGCATTCTGTCGAATCGGCTGCTGGTTGAAAGATGTACCTTGAGGGTTTATCAACTGCAAAGCACTAACCATGGGCTGCTGTTGGTTATGAGCGAGACTCTTCATACCCGATTCCTGCATCTGCTTAGCTTTGAGTTCCAATGCACTTATAAGACCAGGAGTGGAAGATACTCCTCCAGCGCTCATCATTCCACTACTGCTTATGACATTTTCTAAACTTGCCGTCACATTTGTATTACTCCCGAGCATATGGGAACCCGAGGTAAATTCATTAAGATTTCCGCCTTGGTTAGGTAGGGAAGCAGCCGTCGAGGAGGCTAAGCTTGCGGTAAGAATGCTGCTGGTAGATGTTGTTGTAGATGTAGAGGTACTGCTTGCGACTACATGTCCAGCCTTTCCTTGAAATGTCTTCAAGAACTCCTGTTGAAAGTTCCGGTTGCTGACTGGAGCCACTGGTCGTGCCCCGAACATGTTTTGCTTCTTCAGTTGCGTCTTCTTGGTAGGTAAACTGCTCGTATTTGAGGTTGTACTCAAAACTGAGGTTGACTGGACAGAAACAGCTGCAGAGGATACAGAATCCTGGAAGTTCTGTTGGCTGAGTTGAGGGTGCTGAACTAAGGCAGGTACACTACCATTATTTCCTGGCAAGGTTTGAGTCTGACTTGGCAAGCGTTTCGTATTGACATTACTTGGTGTGACAATGGTGTTTGCAGGAGGAGAGTTCTGCTGAATGAAGATTGGCTGAGACTGGGTCCTCAGATCTGCTGTGCTGCTCAGTGCCTGCCTGAGATGAGCAGACGAAGTCTGGTCGGCCCTTGCGTCATGAGGCTGTACTTTTTGGAGTATCGTTTGTAATGGGCCTGAGGTTTGGTTTGCAAGAGAAATGGCAGCCATCTGTGCTTGACTTGACTGAAGTTCAGATTGTGACGTCTGCTTAGAATCTGCCTGTACTGTGGATATCTTTCCATAGAGTTTATGTCGGAATGTTTCAACTGGTTTAGGCTTGGATGAAGGAAAAGGTTCCGACTTGATCAAGTGCACTTCATTCTTAGCGGCCGTTACTGATTGTACATATGGTTGAATTGGATTGGATACATTCTGACTACCAATACTGCTTGAGAGTGTTACAGATGGAGTATTTACTATTTGGCTGGTTGGTTGGTAATATGACACAAGATCTGCCTTTGATGGAGGAGCAGCATATGTAATATCTTTGGTGCGATATGCAGTGGAAGCTGCCACAGACTGCGATGAGACGGTCGCTACTTTGGTTTGTGCCTGTGCTGAACTAACTACCTTTGGCTGAATGAGCTGTGGAGTTGCTTGGACCTTACCGTAGGTTCCTGGCTGTTGGCTCTGCACAAAGCTTACTTGATTGGTTCCAGATTGAACTATCCTGGCTTGGCTCTGTGCAATTGGAAGGACATTTGATGCACCTTGCGGATTCTGGATCACAATAGTTTGACCACCTGTAACATAACCTTGAGGCAATGTTATTGTTTGGTAGGCCTTTCCACCCGAAACACCAGACTGCAAAAACTGCATTACTGGTAAAGCTTGTTTCCCTCCCTGTTGTTGATTGACAGTAATCGTACCTGGCTGAACGACCGACCCTATGGCCTGCCCAGGCATCTGAATGGTGGCAAGGCCTGAACCACTTGTTTGGAGTTGCTGAATCTGTTGAGGGGCAAGAACTGTCGTTGGTCTTGTCATGAATATGAAGCTTCCTTGAGTGGCACCTATCGTGATGACAGGCTGGAGGACAGGAACAGATGACGGAGCAGAGGGTTGAACTTGGCTTTGTACAGCCCCTTGCATATTGTGTAAAACAACAGTCTGCTGTCCTGTCGCACTGGCCTGTCCATGGTTCAACTGGATGGTCTGTCCAGCTGGAGCGCCCCCTATTGTTTGAATATTTCCACCAGCTTGTGGCGCCAGCATGATTCTAAGTCCTTGTTGGGGAGGTGGTGCTTTAGACACGGCTGGAGCACCCATTCCCAGCTTGGGATGTATGTTCAAGGGAGTCTTTGTGTTGAGGACATATGTCTGCTGCATGGGCATGACAGTCTGCTGTCCACCAACAATTACCTTTCCAGGTGCTTGGAGGAACTGGGAGTTGATGACCTGCCCCTGAGCATCAATGACAGGCTGAGTTGAGAGGACTTGTGTCTGGGGCTGTGGTTGAGGTTGTGTTTGTGGCCTTACAACTGCCACTTGAGGAATGCTTTTGGTTGTCAGCTTTTGATGGTCTGTGACGTTACTACCTTGCACAGCCCCTCCCTGGACCATGACATTTGAGGGCGCTGCATTACTCTGCGGGACACTGGGTGTGGGCTGGACACTTTGTATCTTTCCTCCCAAGCTCTGTACAGTACGTGCAGTTACAGATCCTTTGACAGCTCCAGCCTGAGGAACTTCTACTTGTTGATTAGGAACATCATCTGAAAGTTCTCCTACTCCAGACAGCATCAGACTCTGTTGAATCACATCCTGGACGTTACGCGAACTGACCGAGCTGGGCGGGATGGCATGCTGCAACTTGTCAACTTCGTCCTCAAATGAAAAGATGCTCGAGAAGTCATCTTTCCCTGCGGCACTCTGGACGGATCCTTCCACACCCTCCTTAACTCCCAATTTCCCAAACAGGTCATCTCCTGCGGAAAAAGCCTGGTTGTTGCTACCCTGTGTCTGACCAGTGCCCATCATGAAGTCCGGGAATATCTCCTTGATCTCTCCCCCTTCTTGCTCACCGAACCCAAGGTCGATGATCGGCCTGGAGGCGGCCTGGTTCTGGCTGGTTTGAGGTTTGTGGCTGGTCGGGGTGAAAGGTCGATCACCCAGGAGGGAGAGGACAGTGTCATTTTGGATCGGTGGGGGCGAGATGTTCTCAAGGCGCATCAGAACAGAGGATGGGGTCTCATGATGGGACATGGAGGTGGCGCTAGGGTTGGGTCCGGTGGCATACTGGCTATGGGTGAGAAGAGTCTGCTGCTGGTACCGGGAGAACTCCTGTGTATCATAGAAAGACAGAACAAAGTCCATATTTAGAACAACTGATAGCTATGGGAGGAGATTGCTTAGGCCCAATTTTACAAAGGAGGTTTTAATTCAACCCATGGTTTAAACCGTCATTTACATACCCAGGGTCTAAAATTAGCGCAAAATAAGCGCGAAACAGTCAGATGTCCACAATCATTTTGCACTAATTTTAGACCATGGGTTATGAAAATGAGGGTTTAAACCTCCTTTGTGACTTCGAGCCTTAGTGTTCACATTACATCAACTATTAAATTGATAACTGAATTTGAATGCAATAGGGTCTAATGGTGGAAAAAAGAAAAAAAGGAAAAGAATTATGACTTCCTTTCCTGATATAAAGATGCAAGAATTGAACAATTAATGGGAACATAATGTAGAACAAATTTTCTTTTAACATGACAAAATAATTCTTCTACAGGTATAGCTCAAAATTCTCTGTGATCCACACATTGTGGATCACATAATCGTTCCGCAAGTCTTGCCGCTGCACTTTTGTCTTTTGGCAAGACATTCTACATTTGTCATTCTTCATCCATTTGTGGTAAATGGGTACTTAGTAAGGACTGTTTCCAGGATGTACTCTGTAGGTGTTTTGAGCATTCCTGGGATAAATGTGTGTTGCATTAACATAATTATTATCATTGTCATCGTCATCATCCTCCTCATCATTACAACTATAATTAAAGATAAAGTTGAGTTCTGGTCACGCGATTGCATTGTGAAAGAAAAGGTGTGGAATGGATCAGAAAAAAAGTTGATCATTTGGCATGTACATGTAAGTATTGGTAAAGTAACAAGCACTGTACACAGAAAGATGAATATTGGACTACAGAAATGGTGTCAGTGCTACTAACCTTGGTTTCCTTATCTTTCTATGCTCATACAAATGTAACTCAGCCAGGATACATTTTCTGCCAAAATTGTTTGGCAACTGACATTATTAGTAATCTTGAGCATTCAGTGTAAGTTTTGTTCGATTCTGTACAAATACATTATCTTTTTTTTTTTTTTTTACCAGAAATCAATTTATCTTCAATAGTAGTAGTATTACTATTTAGTATTAAAAACAAAATATATACCTCCAAGTCAGCACTATCCAATCCAAATGCATCTTGTTTGTCAAGAAATGAAGTCAATGCGTCAGGGTCACTGAAACAAAAAAAAAAACAGATGACAATAATTACTACATTTTATTAGAAACATTTGACCCAAGAAATAAAAAAGAACCAACAAATAACAACAACAGTTAATTGGTGCCAGAGTCAGCCTGATGCTGTTTCACTTCGATAGCCACTATAGACAGGTTTGACTGTACTATCCCTTACGTATCATTTTTATCAAATAAACCATCAGTGCATACATGAATAATGAAGACAATATTTTCTTGTTGGAACACACATATCCAGTATTCCTCTCAGCGAATTCTACAAATGTGTACGACTACGAATGACCTAAATCTGCCAATGTGCAGATTGTATCCCCGAACTGGCTTAAAATAATAATAATAATACACAACATTTATTAGGCGCTTAATACAGGTGTCTCTAAGCGCACCATAGTCTGACTAAAAATTATTTAAAGCACTTGTGCACTAGTTTGGCCAGGAAGGATTAGACCTGCCTGCATGGTTACTGACTGGTGGTTATCTCATCAAATTAGCTCTCAATTAACATAAGAAACAGGGGACCATGGAGGACCAATGGTCACCGATTATGCATGTTTGCTATAATAAAGGGCGCAAGTACATGTAGCTATAAGTTAACCCTGTAAACGATCATCGGATCGGCCGCCGATACCGATCCGATCAGGGGTGATCGGATAAAAATTACCGATCGCCGATCAATTGAAATGATCGGGAAAAAAATTGGCAGAATTTTTTTTTTTTATATTGTTTTTTATGCCAAGTTCTTGGCTATTAAATGCTCAAAAAAAATTCATGGCTGGGATGCATCTACATTATAATCCAAGATGGCGGCCCGCATGTTTTGCCTCTGCCCTTAGACCAATATTATTAATTTCAAAGTCATGAAAAGGCACTAAATATCAACAAACATGGTCTACAACAACTCTAAATGACAAAATAATCCCAGCCATGAATTTTTTTAAAGCATTTGATAGCCAAAAACTTGAAAATTTTCGTCATTAAAAAAAAAAAAATACCTACATTATAATCCAAGATGGCGGCCCGCATGTTTTGCCTCTGCTCTTAGACCAATATTACTAATTTCAAAGTCATGAAAAGGCACCAAATATCAACAAACATGGTCTACAACAACTCCAAATGACAAAATAATTCCAGACATTAATTTTTTTGAGCATTTGATAGCAAAAACTTGAAAATTTTCGTCATTTAAAAAAATAAAAAATAAAAAATAAATAAAAAAATTTAAAAAAAATAAAAAAATCAGCCAATTTTTTTTGTCGATCTTCCGATCCGATACCGATCATAGGTGCGAGGGTGTCGCTCCGATCTTCCGATCCGATCAGAGCCCCAACTTACAGGGTTACTATAAGTTAGTCTGCAAGCACAAACCCTGGTCAGTCGTAAAAGTGAGTCTGCACTATAAGACTACTATAGGCCATGTACTGTAGCTGCTCCTGACACAACCAGTAGGTAGCTGGGCTAGACTTCTCTCAAGGCACAATGATTTTTTGATTAAGTGTCAAATTAGGGTCTGCGCCTGCAGACTAGCTATAAGTAGTGCAGTGGGGCTTTAAATTCTACAACACTCCGAAAAAGATTACATGAAATTAGAAAGAAGAGACCACTTACTCTATCACGTCAAGTAAGCATCTACCATCATCCATGTCCTCAAATGGCTGTAGAAAAAAAAAATACAATGCACATCATTTCATTGCTGTCACTTTCAATCAATAATTAAAAGGCAATAGACCATTTTTGTAATTTGTATTCAAATTTAATGCATAATTCTTTGTTGAGTGCCATGTTACAATATATTTCATTCACCTGTTACAAATAATGTATAGTTCAATAGTCAGAATGTGAAAGGTAGGGCCATAAGCCATAAAGTCTGTCCTACCTAGCAATAATTAATATGTACATGTATGTAATCTACAATTCTGACTATTGAAATATAATGATTTGTAATAGGTAAATGCAATACTTTGTAACATACAAATGTAACACTTAACCCTTACTGTACTGGGCTATTTCGAGCACACTCTGGCCTCCCAGGCCCCCCCCCCCTATGATCTCGGTCGTCGAATGTCCGATGAACGCGAAAATTTGCATGTTTGTAGATATTTACGTAAGGAACAAGATGGTATAATTAGTTTTTTCCTAATATGCAAATTTTTGTTGTTATAGCCTAATTATTTATGCAAAATGCTAATTTTATGCATTTTACAGAAAACTCTACATATTTGTCAGTACACTTGTGAAGAATCTTGAAAATGTATTGAATAAATGTTTCCTTCATCTCAAATCTCAAATTATTTTCATGATATTTGAAAATGCATAGGTTAATTTGCATAAATTATGAATATGCAAATTACGAATATCTAATCTGGAAATATACAGGGAACTAGAATCATTACAAAAATTGTCAGACTCCACTTTTGTAATGTTGAAACTCATTATTCATATGAAACTTCTTTTCTAGTTACACAAAATAGTTATTGTAATGTAATTAATAATGATAATTTATGCAAATTTAATGCGATTTTCAACTTTTTATTTTCTTATGTATCTCATTGTTTTTTATTTATTATATCTATTGTTTTATTTCTAATGTATTCTTTTGTTCTGAAATACATCAAGTTACTTTGAGAAACATATAAAAGCAATTTGATATCAATTCATATCTTCACATTTCTGCTTGTACATGAATATACATGTATGCAATTATAGCACTTTTTTGATGACATGCGCATACTAATTGTTATGTAACACCTTACAGGTATATATCGATTTCGACGAAAATGGTATCAAAATGTGCGTACATGTAAGACTTGAGGGAAAAAAGTCATGAAACGACAATTTGAAATTCTGAGCGGTTGTGGCGCGATCTCCGAAAATGTTGAGGGGGGGGGGGCCTCCCAGGCCCCCCCCCCCCCCAGTACAGTAAGGGTTAACAAAAATGTATGCATTACATTTGATTACATTACAAAAATGGTCTATTGTAACAAGTTCATTTGTAGGAAAGTAGAAAAATTAAAGAAATAGAATGGTAAAAGCTTGAAATAAATTGACAAATATGAAAATTCTTTGAAATATTAGTTCAGCTGCAATAATATCTCTTCACAACAATATTGACTAAAACAGTACTGATAAAGTGTCAGCATTTCAATATGGCATAAAATAAAAATACATGATCTATGTGGTACCAAAATAATTGGAAGAATCTGTTTTTACTTTGAAATGGACACTATACTATGAAATATGAAATAAATTAATAAATATGAGTCAGTGCATATAATGAATGAATGACTGCATTGAAGTAAATTCATTAATAGATAAATACTGCAAGAAAATAAATAATTCCAAGGGCAATTAATGAACAATCGAATATGTATGGACTTCGGTCATGATATCCACTATAATCACATCAATAACAAAATTCAAATCGCCTTTCTCACAAAATGAACACTAATTTTTTACAACTTTGTTTACTTGGCTACATCACTATAAATCAGCTCACAATGGATAATGATAAAACAAAACATTATTAACCTCATTTTGGTTTCCTTTTTTATCATTCATTACTCTATTTTTCATTCTTCTACTTATTTTTATTTAGATATTAATCTACACTGTACATTTGCCATCCTCCACCAAGGTGTTAAATGGGTACTGGTAGGAAGGAATTCCTTGAATGAAGTGAGCGCTGTAATCGGCAGTCTAGCAGAGCCGGGGTAATAGTTGGAGTGTCTTGACCACCATGTATGGTGGATATGTGCGCTATATAAATATCAATATTATTATTATCATTTTGTGTTTTTTGTAAAGTTTTTACCTGAAAAGCCACTTTGGAGGATTCTTGTACTCATCCAGCAGCCCCGGCCTGCGTCATGTTTCTGGATTGCTTGGACTCACTTATATTAGAGCGTTCCCATTCAAATCAAGTCAAATCTGAAATCAATTAGAGGAAAAAACAAATACATTGAGTGATATCAAGTTGGGTGTTAGTGTTAGTGTTTAGAGCAGTTAAGAGCTCATAAATTAAATTAAGAGCCTGATTCGGATATCAATATTGATAGCATAACACCAATACCAAACTGGAAATCAACATTTGCTTATGATCCCTAGGGGCTAGTGTTAGTGAATACAACAGTTGTACGTAAAATATTACCACCAGCCACAAAGGTCGGTTCAGCAGACAACAATTGTGTAAAATTAATCTCACTAGTTAGCTAGCGGAAGTTGAGGATATTCAGAGGTCAAAGCCTTAACACCAGCTGATTTCCATTTGGGTGTTTAGAGTTGGTGTTAGTGTTTATTAAACACTAACACCAGCCCTGGACACCCAGCTTGCAATCACTCATTGTTATGACTACCTAATTTATGCAAATTTGGTTTGAATATTCATGCATTTGTAGAATTTGTTAGAGCTTGAATGTGCATGGAGCCAATTAAAAGCCCATTTTCGTAATGTAAGATTTCATGCATAAATGTACACGTCTTTGTTAAGAGCCTCATTGCAAATTCCATTCACCTGTAACGCATCATTGATATTCAATAGTCAGAATGCAAATTGAATACATTTTGTGCTGCTTGGTAAGACAAGCCATAATATTTGTCCAACTCAAAAGAACTAATGCATGCAATTTGAATCCTGTTTTAGCTATTTCTATTTAAATACAATTTCCACAAAAATATCTTTTGATATACAATTTCTACATTAATTTCTATTGAAATAGATTTTATACATTTCTATTGAAAAAGAATTTATACATTTCTATTGAAATAGAATTTATACATTTCTATTAAAGATTTTATACATTTCTATTGAAAATTTGAAATACAAGTGATTTGATACATTTCTATTGAAATACAATTTCTACATGTCTATTGAAATACAATTTCTACATGTCTATTGAAATACAAATTTCCAATGAAATATATATGTTTGTTAATTAACCCATAGCAGTAAGGTGTCTCCTCTTGTATATCATTTTGCAATATCTTTTATTCCCGAATGTTAGGGATTAAACCTCCCTCATACTTGAGCAGAAAAAGGGAAACAGAAAGTTTTGAGTGCCATTATAATCAAATAAAAGAAATTAAATTTTAAAGAGAAGGTTGAGTTCTGGGAAGAGGTGAAAAATAATTGTGAGCGTTACTCATTCTTATTATGCAAGTGTGGAAGAACATCAGATAAGACATGTTCCCTGAAAAGCATGGCTCTTCAAATGCCTTCATATTCTACATGTAAATATGCATGTAACATCGTAAAAATCGGGGGCCGGCTTTTTACGCCACGTGTTTGTGTAGTCCCATATACAACTTTCTGTGTACAGTGTTTGTAACTTTACCAAGACTTGGCCAAATTTCTTATCATTTTGATGATTCCAGAACCTTGCAATACACACAAATTCTTATATGTGCAGGGCTCTGATCAAGGGCACAAAAGTGTTACATGTGAGGTGAATTTTAAAAGTCAACTATAGACTGTGACAACATTATTTTTGTAATATGCAAACATTATGCAACATATAGCTAAAAAATCAGACCTTAACAAATTGCCGTTAAGTGGCAATCAGTAGCTAAATATCACATCATCAAAAATGTTACGTACATAACTCGGTGTCCACTTCATGCTGATATTTCCCTTATAATTTTACTTTTTCTGACAAAGTACATTAAATGTTAAAACATACTGTAAACAAAACTTAAAACCATTGCCATATCAACTTTTTGCAATTTAGTTATTAGAATATGGCCAAAACAAATGTGGACACCAAGTTATGTACAGTACATCTTATTCTCTACATGCTTTCTCTTTGCCTTATTGTCAGATAAGGTTTTGCATTAGTCTGATAACGACTTCAATTGAAGGAATGATATGTTTCCTGAATGAAACATAATTTGCAATGTGTAAATAGTTTGTAAACTACTATTACAGGACTGAAATGTAAGATTTCTGTACTTTAATAATCGTACATAACTGTGGACACCAAAAGTAAGTAGTTTTACATTCAAATAATAACTTCTTGTTCCTTAAATTCAATAAATGTTTGTTTAAATGAAAATGCAGAAGGGTGCAATTCATGCTGTATGGAATAAATAAATTTATTTATGATAATTATTTCAATTTTTTGATTGGTAGTAACGTACATAACTCGGTGTCTTTTCATAATGGTGTCTTAGTTATGTACATGACATGAAAAAGTTCAAACTGCAATATTTTGTAATATTCTTCTCACCAAATCAGATGTGTGTATGTCTTATACATTTTTTACTACCTTACCATGACAAATAACTAAATATAGGTGGTCTTATTGGAAAAACAAAACATGGAATACGTTCATAACTGTCACGTACATAACTCGGTGTCCACATTCATTGTTGATTAAATAACACATACAAGTTAAAATGCGGAATCCAATGTTATCAGTGCTCTTCATTCACCTATATACACCATTACATTGTCATTTTGAAAGAATACAATATGTTCTTGTATAGATTCTGGTGCACTGGTATGTACATAACTGCAGGACACCAAACATTTTCCATTTACAGACATCTAAATATTTTTAAAACCATGACCCAGAATGAGATGATCTGATTGGAAATCAAAGATAAAGTGAAACTAAACATTATAACATTGCAAGCTTGTAAATAAATCAATTATTTATACACCATTCTTCAGTTAGTAAGGTTTGAAATTTGCAGGACACCAAAGTTATGTACATATCACAAAAATTGTATCACATGTAAATAGAATAAGAAAGTAAAATACTTGGAATTAACTCAACAGAAATGTTAATTATTACATAGATTCTACATCAAGATGGAAAAAAATCATAAGTTTTGCATCCAATTAGTAAAAATCTGGTAACCAATTAGTGCATGTTTTGAATGTAACATTAAAAGTGCTGAAAATAGGCCTTTTTTCATCATAAAATTGCTCTAAAATCTTTAATTTTAACTCAATGAAGCTGAAACCTTGTTTTGAGCTTCCCCAAATGATACTTTGTAATATAAAAATGCTAATTTGTTTCTGGGTCTCATGGTTTTGAATAATTGAACAATTTCCCAGTGTTCAATCTAAGTGTACCCTTGATCTGAGCCTTGCACATATGCTAGATGATCAACCTTTTCTGATCCCACACCGTTTCTTTCACAATGGAATCGCATGACCAGAACTCAACTTCATCTTTAACTATACATTGACAACACGCTATAAAATATAACTAACAAATATTTCCTCAATATTATATTTCCCATACAATGATCTTAAATTACAAAATATGAGGAAAGAATTTAAGTTGTGATCATTTTATGACTTTAAGTTTAGGTCTTTTTTCAAACTAGATTGTGAAGAATAACCAGAGTTGTGGTCATTAGACTTCTGGCTACTAGTACTGTATATGAATGAGGCTTCAGTTGTGTATGGCGGTGTGACCAAAGTTCGCGCGTGACCAAAGTTCGCTTTCTCAAAAAAATCGGTAAGATTTCGAAAATCTGATATCACCAATGGAAAGAGGGTCTTAAAATTACCCAGAAACGAAATTTTCTTTAGAATTGGTTGCGAAATTGTGAAAATATTGACAAAAGATTGGCAAATTTTGCAGTTATTTGCGTCCGTTCCGAAAAATTATCAACTTACCGATAAGGGTCTGGAAATCTTCATTTTGAGATCAGAAATCCTGAAAATTGTAAGTAAAGAGTGGTACGAACTGATTGTACGATATCTTGCCTTGCAAATTATGATATTACCTTATTTTTGATGGATCGCTTTTTTTGATAAATCAACTGTAAACCACCGTGCGTGAAGTTAGGTCTCATTGTTTTTATGACTTTTTTAGATGCAGCGCGCGCGCACGATCGGACATCGAATTTTTAGATCGCGATATCTCCGAAATCCTTCGACGGTAAATTTTTCTAGTTGAACCAATCTGTAGTAAAAAACTTTGCCGTCCATTTGGTAATAATTGAAATAAATAAAGTTGTGTAGAATGTGAGAAATCATAGATCGAATATCACATTTTGTAATATGTTCTAAAATGTCCGCGAACTTTGGTCACCCCCTTCATACATCAAAAAATTGAAAATATTAATATTAACAATAAAACAAATAAAACTAATATCAATTATATTATTAATATAAACATAACAATAATAATTAATAATAAAACAGGCCAGGGTAGTGGAATAAGTACAACAATATTTGACCCCCCCCCCCAAAAAAAAAAAAAAAAAAAAACAAACAAACAATAACACTGACATTGAAGAATAGAATTTGAATTTTTGAACATTATATTCAAAGAAACAAATTAAAATAGGCAGATTTATAGGTAGAACTAGAAGTCTATTTCCATTTCAAAATTGAACAGCTAGACTATAGGCTAATAATACTAAGAGAAAATTAAATACAACTTATTTTGAAATTAATAAAAACTCATTACCCCTCCACACAAAAGAGAAAAACAAAATTAATAGCGATAAATATTAAAAAAAGAAAAAAGAAGACAAACACTTATTTAAACATTAATGTCATGCCTCATGGCCATATGACTAGTACGAGTACAGTAGGCTATCAGTGGCGGATCCAGGGGGGGGTGAAACGGCCGCTGGCCCCCCTTATCGGCGGTGCAAAAAAAAGAGGAAGAAAAGAAGAAGAGAAAAGAAAGGAAGAGAAAAGAAAGGAGAAGAAAAGAAAAAAGAAAGGAGAGAAAAGAAACAGAGAGAGAGATAAAAAAAGGAGATAAGAAACAGTGGCCCACCCCCCCCCCCTCCCCCTCTCGCTTGGTCGCTACGCCCCCTCGCCCATTAACACAAAACTATGATATGATGGATGATGCTCCCGGCCGTGATTTATCCATGGTTGGTGTAATAGATATTTTTTCCCTTCATTTCTACTAACCTAATTGTGTGCTATTACAATGATGATTATTTCATTTTCCCTTTAAAGCAGGCGCATATACATGTAATCAGGGGCGGTAGGGGCAGTAAGAGGAGAGAGAGTAAGAGGAAGAAAAAGGAGCAGACAAAGAAACATTTTTGAAAATTCCGTCAAGTCGAGAACGGTACAACGAATCATCTTCTTTCTCTAATAATTTAATGAAATGTCAAAGCTTCCACGCTTCGCTCGGGAAGCAGGGGGCAACTGAATTCAGACAAGGATTAAGAGTCAAGAATGGTACAAGTTAACGAATCCTCTTCTTTCTCAAATAATGTAGTGAAACGTCAAAGCTTCTGCGCTTCACGTGGGAGGGGGAAAACTGAATTCAGACAAGGAATAAGAGTCGAGAATGGTAAAACAAATCATCTTCTTTTTCTAATAATTAATGAAAGGTCAAAGCTTCGCGCGTAATGGGGGGGGGGGGGTTGGGTGAAACAGCGAGCTGTCCGAAGATGAATTTTTGTTATCTTTTCTCATTTATTTTGGTGATAAAAAAGTCTTTCACAAAATACATATTTTGCTCAAATTTTTGTTCGCTCGCTTCGCTCACTAGCCGAATTGTGAAGCCGTTGGTATTGGCATGTTGAGTTGAAGAGCTGACCCTACCCAAATCAGAGGCTAACGAACGAAAGAGACAGAAAATTTGGGCTAGGTCAGACTCAGAATCAGATTCATAGTTCAAGTCAGATTCAGAGTCCAAGTTGGGTCCTTTTTTAATTTTTTGTAACAAGCCTTTGGCAACAAAAAAATTAAACAATTCTTAGAAAACAATCATCATGATCATAACATTCCCATCCCACCATTGCATTGATCTAGACCTACATGTATGCATAAAACATGTTCAAAGCAGGAATATCCGTATTCATTGTGTGGGCACAGAATGAACAGATACTGTGCTGATGCACACATCACACATCGTCACATGTATCTACCGCACACGAACTACTATAGTTAGCCTACATGTACAAGCGGACACGGGATCTTTGTGTAGGCCGATGCTAGCCGCCTGATAAACCATCGATGTGCCCTCCCGACGCGTTGGCCTACCCCGACTTGTGCAGACAAACCGGCTTTGATTTTTCTTTTAACCCATAATTTACACATCTAAATCAGGTGCTATATTACAGTTTTCAAGTGTTCAACTGCCAAAACAATTAAGAACAGATTGCAAGTTGTCTTAAGAATAAGATTTACAGTCAGGAAACATAGAAATTATCGATATTTCAGCTAGAATTAGTAGCTGATGAACGGCTGTAAATTATTACACTACTTTCCAGCATTAGATTTTTCCCCATAGGCCAGACGTGTGTTAATACGGCTCTGTATCTTTCTACACAGAGCCAATGGAAACGAGTGCGTAAGTGCATCAGAAAGGCAGTATTCTACACTACGGAAAAAGAGCAAAAAATCCTACATCATATAATGTTATTTTCAAGGAAATATGTCATCATTTAGCTGTAGCAAGCAGCTCGTACAGCTGTGGCACGTTTAACCCCTAAAATTTATCAGAAAATATTATTCGGCATTTCACTCACCGTCGACAGGTTCCGAGGTTCCGAGTATAATAGGGTAATTTTAATGACAAAGAAGCTGATTGGACAATACCACAGACAAACAAAATTACCATATCTAAATGACCAATGGGGTGCGGTGTCGCTTATCTGAGTCACAGGGTCATAGGTGGGTATGTGTCGGGTTTCATTATTCCTCTTCAAGGGTGTATGTTAATAGGTACGGTACGGTATAAAAATAGAATCGTAAAATTAAGAATGCATGCAAACAAATACCTCATTCCCCGACCAATGCAGATACATTTTTTCCCATTTTGACATCAGTTACGAGAATTGGGGTTCATCTAAAAGGGTTTTTAATGCTTCATATATTTGATCACATGGTTGATTGAATTCCCAGGACAAATGTATACAGAGCTCGAATCAAAATCACCTGTCATATTTTCTTTTCCTTTAATTGAGAGGTCAGTCGATTATTAACAAAGGGTTTAATATTTAGCTTGACAAGCTCTCATTATCTTTCTGAAGATAACAATTAAGTTATATATGTATGATATAGTTCATTGTTTGATACCCCTTCATATATGGTATGTACAATATTTATTTACTCTAATAATGCTGATAATTTGAGGAATGATTGCGAAGTATTTCACATAGTGTTTCCCTGCATTACAGTTGACGAGTCACTGTACCACCTCCCCCCCCCCCCCCCCCCACCTGAGCTAGCGCTCGCGACAGTTTGCTTTCTTATGACGTCAAATCTATTTTCGAGAAAACCTGCATAGCGTTTAACGGAGGAAAAAGTATACATTTTTGTATTATTATAAATCTAATTTGAATTTTAGGAACGCTAACTGAGATAAAAATTCCTGTGTTTTACAATTAACAATCAATTTTTGATTCCAAAGGATAAAATATTGATGTTTTTCACCATGAATAATTCATGCAGCTTTATCCCCGAGTCAGTAAGTGGTTTTACAAGACTAGTTCTCTTTTGAAATGGCGCGCGCCTAGCCTACGTACAGGGGGAGTTTCACAAAGATCCTAAGTGGGACTTATGTTATGGAAAGCCATTTGTAGCCGTAAAATTAAATATTTCCAAAAGCAAATATTGAAGTATTTTAGATTTTTCATAAATTTCACAACAAGAACATGAAATCTTCTCAATAATCAAAAATTTAAATGATTTGATTCAACATTTTATGCCTTCACAAAAATAATTACAATTTTTTTCAATGATGCTAATGGCTTTCCATAACGACTAAGTCTAAACTTAGAGATAAGTTCAACTTAGGATCTTTGTGAAACACCCCTGAGGTGTTAGCGCGCGGCAAATTTGATCGACGGCTAATACACACGTACATACCGAATTGGAGTCGTGTATACTAGACTGTGTATTGTAGATAAATGGGGAAAATGGCGAAAGAAACAGAGACCGCTGAACGGTTCAAAACTTTGGGAATAGAGGACCTAGATGAAGGTAATAACTTTATTTGTGGTGTTCGATAACTGAGTAATAATATGTTTAACTGGTGGTGTTGCTTCTGCTTCTGCATTATGGTCCTTTGTTCATCGAAATTTGAAACTCGGAACATGAAACAGTCAGATTGAAATTTGAAGTGTTGATGTTAATGTTGTTGTAGACCGAAAGCTTCAGTCTCTATAATCGTCGGTTGTTCCACTGAGACTACGTCTGGCTCCACTAGACCTCCGGTTATAGAGACTGAACGACTGCCTATGCCAGCCTGTGTTGAACTTATTCCGCTAGATTTTAGCCGCTAGGCCCCTCCCACAAACTTGCCACGGCCGTATTGTTATGCCCCCAAAATCCCCCAAAATGTCATTTTACCTCGTTCATTTCCAATTTTAAATTAGGCCTAGGCTATAATACATCGGTTCCACTTACTAACTTGATTGATATAATCCGTTTAATGGTCCCTTTTAAGGAAATTATCGGTCAAAATCGACATCCATGTTGAAAATCTTGCAAGCCGTGTTAAACTCTCGCTGCCGTCAATCTCATCCCTTCTAGTCTACGCCGAAGGCAAAATGATTATGAAGGAAAAACTGTGATAACGCCATTACGAACGTGTAGATGGCGCACAGTTTTTCCTTCATAATCATTTTGCCTTCGGCGTAGACTAGAAGGGATGAGATTGACGGCAGCGAGAGTTTAACACGGCTTGCAAGATTTTCAACATGGATGTCGATTTTGACCGATAATTTCCTTAAAAGGGACCATTAAACGGATTATATCAATCAAGTTAGTAAGTGGAACCGATGTATTATAGCCTAGGCCTAATTTAAAATTGGAAATGAACGAGGTAAAATGACATTTTGGGGGATTTTGGGGGCATAACAATACGGCCGTGGCAAGTTTGTGGGAGGGGCCTAGCGGCTAAAATCTAGCGGAATAAGTTCAACACAGGCTGGCATAGGCAGTCGTTCAGTCTCTATAACCGGAGGTCTAGTGGAGCCAGACGTAGTCTCAGTGGAACAACCGACGATTATAGAGACTGAAGCTTTCGGTCTAATGTTGTTGGTGATCTTTCCCATTGCTAACGGCCCTGTCACTATTACACCTCACCTGCCCCGCCTCCCCACCGCCGGGCAGGGCGGCTAGCTGTCGGGGGCTGAGGGTTACGGTAGATCTAGTCAGTAGTCGTACCTAGGCTACATTCTTCTTCTTCTTCTTCGGGAGTACTCCTCAACGTTCCGTAAGGAACCAAGCGAGGAGGAATGAGGGGGTGCGCACTGTGCTTATTTAGTTCTTATTGCTTGAGTCTTGGTTGCGGAAAAAGTTGGTTGCTTGGAGTTTGAAGGTGTCAATGTTCGTGGTCCTTTGGATGTCGGAGTGTTTAAAACAATTGGTGCGGGTGGAGTATTGGATGAAGGAGTTTCCTGAGGTACGTCTGGTGGCTCGTGTAGCTGGACGCAGGTAGTCCGACACCGGCAGGGCCAAGTGCCCCCCCAAGGCTTTGTGCAATATACAGACCCTCGAAACTTTCCTTCGAATAGAAAGCAAGTCCCATCCTAACCCTACCATTAGTTTTGTCGCGCTGGTAGTTTGCCTGTAGTCATTGCATACCATTCTGGCTGCCCTTCTTTGGACCTTGCCAATTTCCTGTGTATGTTCTTTGGTATATGGGTCCCAGACACTAGTACTAGAACTATATTCTACAATTGGACGGACTAGGGTTGTGTAAGCTAAGGATTTAGTTTGTTTAGTACATGATATAAGGTTTCTACGGATGAATCCATTGACCTTATTTGCAGACGATGTTATGTTAGAAATGTGTTTATCCCACTTTAGATCATTGGAGATCTCTACCCCTAGGTACGAGTGAGAGGGAGTTTCCTGTAATACAGTACCTCCGATGGTGTACTTGGTTGTTACAGGGGATCTAGAAGCGTTAAATCTAAGAACATGACATTTTTGGGGGTTGAGTTGCATTTGCCACTTATCCACCCATGCAGAAAGTCTGTCAAGGTCGTCCTGTAGTCTGGTAGCGTCAAGTTGAGTTTTTATTACCACTCTTCCCTCTACTCTAGCTCTAATGTTAGCTAGATTACGAAACCTGTATCATGTTAATTTGTTTGTTAATAATGACGTAGACGAGGGGTCTTCAATTTCTTTTATTTCCAAAATATCCTGATTCCTGATTTGTTTATTGCACACACAAAAAATGTTTAAAATCAAAATAAAACGTTTCATTCAACTTTGAGTTTCAGTTTGTTAAAAAGTGTTATGTTTTTTTTTTTAAATTGATGTTGTCGTTTGGAATATAATGGCACTGCATTAAGTCGGACTCTATCACTTTACAGCCGAGGATGCAGGTTCGAAACTTAGTAGACCTAACATCTTTTGGATGGTGACGTTTGAACTAGTTAAAGGGACTTGGTAAGATTGTTCAGATGAGTAGTGGTGCGAGATGTACAATTAAAGATAATCTGAAAGTCTGAGTGAAAACGGACCATTAATTATTTATGATACAAATTGGGAAAAAAGATCTGATCGATTCCTGGCTTAATTCTCCCAACTATTAGTAGAGGTCTATTTCACTTTTAATTATGTAAAATTACCTTGCTTGGTTTGGGCAGTTATGTTTTTAAAACTTAACCGGACAAATATCCTAACTAAAACTTGTAAAACTAAAACTCTAGTTTTGTTTTTGTTTTTAGAGAGAGAGAGAGAGCATATTTTGTAACTGCTTATGAATAGACATTTCGAGTGCAGACATTTTCATTGATATGGAAATCCTGAATATGAATTAAATTATTATAGATCTAGATCTATTTCATTACTCGTTTTATAAAATAATTAAAAATGCCCAGTGGTCCAGTCATTTCTTTACTTGAATGTCTCCTTCCCTTCCAGAATGGGTGAATGTTGTATGGACAAGCGACTTCACAGAGAATCCAGAGCCTCCGCAGTCGGTCCAGGGTCTTTGGTCCAACCATCGTGATGTCCTGAGCTCTTTGGAAGATGCCATTGCCTGCTCTACAACGTGGGCCAGGGTAGACTTTGCCACGCTTCCACAAGGTATAATCTCACTCCATTTCATATCAGGGACCCATTTCACAAAGACCCTTCTCGTGATTTATTCATTATCCAAAGTACATAATTATTGCAGTTTCATTTATGTTTATTGTATTTTCATTTTCATTTTTCATTATCATGTTATTGTTATACACTGTTAGTTAAGTAGTTCGTCTAAATTAAGCACAACGTTCATTTCACCTTTCTTGTTGATCCTTATTATTTAGTTTAAACATAATTTTCATTTCATTTGTTTTGTAAAGCGCTTAGAAACTATCTGCATAGTGCATACCAGCGCAATATACAGTGTCAATCTTAGACATTATTATTATTATTATTTTTCAGTGACAAATCTGCTGATAACCAATCAGAAGCAGGGATTTCTCTCGCTTACAGCAAAATCTGTCATTTGTCACTAATGACAGGTTTTTTTGTGAAATGGGGCCCAGTCTTAACCAAATAATTACCGACTAGCCTGGCGATTGGACAAACCAACATCGCAGAGTTGATATTATTGGGGCTACTTTCTTGCCAAATTGAAGGCGAGTGAAGAAGAATGATAAACCAAACATCAACACTAAACATATAACTGGTGATTCTGCTTACGCGTTGTTGTTGTCTAATTGTCTTATTTTACAAAAATGATTACCGTAATGTTGATGCATCTCTTTCTGTAGCCTTTCTCTCCTGACTGATGATTAGAATATTTGACTCATGTTTAAAGAAATTATCGGGAACAACAACCATAAATTTGTAAACCATAAATTTATGTATTTTTTATTCATAAATATTTAGCTACCAAAATGTCTGTATGCACTAAATTACTTGTACTCATCTTCATATTATTGTATTTGCTCTCTCAAACACCCCTATTTCAGGATTTTGGAACGTCCTTTGTGAGAATGGCATTGTGCCCAGGGCTCTCCTGGCTGGATTGCATCACTTCATGAATAGGGTGGACAGCCTCCTTTCGTCGGCAGTAGAGAGAGAAGTTGCAATAGCAGCTGCCCACTTGTACATCCTCCTGCTAGAGATACCAGGTAAAGGCCCATGCACAAGCAATAAAAGATTTAAAGCCCGTCTGCACTAGTTTGCCCAGGAGGGATTAGACCACCCAGTGTGGTCACTGACAACCAGGTGGCTATCTCATCAACTCAGCTCTCAATTAACATAAGAAAAAGAGGATCATGGGGGACCAATGGGCACCGCTTAGGCATTGTTTTCTATATAGAGGGAGCAAATAGTACAGTGTGGCTTTAAGATTCTTGTTTCACAAAGCGAGTTATCAATAACACTGCCTTTGTCTGTGACAAATTCATTCAAAGCTAATAAAATGCAATGGTATCAATAGTTTGTCTCTGTCAGTGCACAGGAAATATGTTTTGGTTATTCCTCCAAAAAAAGAAAAGAAAAGAGGAACAAAGAAATATTAATACAAAATGCACTATTATCACTTGTCAGAAAATGAACCAAATCAGGGTCCTGTTTCACAAAGCCTTTTTTCAATCACAAATGACCAAAATCAGTGACAAATCTGCTGTTAACCAATCAGAAGCAAGGATTTCAGTAGCTTATAACAACAACTGTCATTTGCCACTAATGACAAGTTTTGTGAAACACCCCCTCAGGTAGCGGAGCCTACCGTGTGCAGCAGCCGATGCTGTTTGAGGAAGCCCTGGACACCTTCAAACTCTGGCCCAAGACGGAGACCAACAAACGGAAGCGTCCTGAGCCGAGAGGACACCAGAGCTCCCAACAGCAAGCGGGAAAGAAGTCCAGACGGCTCGTCTCCAGTCAGACGGCGTCCCAGAAGACAGGCGATGGTGGAGATGATGAGGAAGAGGAGGAGATGGAGGATGTGGTTTCCCTGACAACGCAAGAAGTGGATCGCATCCACAGGGCTATCTACCACACTATCAAGGTTTGTTTTATAACAATAATTGTCAGCAATTCATTCAGCGATGGATTCTACTTTTAGTACGTAACCAAGTTAACCAAACATATATTTCACTTCTGTGATTTGATTCGCTAGGGATCATATAACAGCTTCCTTCATTTTGTTACCTATTTTTCAGGCTTTCTTACTTTCAAAATTAGTGATAGTCAAATGTTAGTTTGTAATAATCTGTTGAGGCTCTTTTTTACATAGAATATGATTATAATGTGAAATGAAATGCTTTCATATTTTAGGTATGCTTACAATCTACAGTTATCAGGACGCATGTGATAACACGTGACCTCATTTTCCGCACTCCTCTAACTTACAGATCAATAGGGGTTAAATTTGCTGCAGTTACGGTGACAAAATAACATGTGAACCTGATCTGCTCGGCAATGAGCCGTGTTTAATTTATGCAAAGTCATTGTGGACATTCGTACTCCACGTAAAATGATGTAATCAAGCCGGCAGCTAGTTTTTATGCTGAAAAACTTTTGATTTTCAGAGCATTAGATTTCAAGTTTTGAGAGAGCTGTTACTCCTCTGGCAGACACTAAAATAGCCAATACGTGTAAATGATATTGTTATCTATGGCTCACAAGCTTTCCATTGATACATAATTCATGTATTGCATTTTTCACTTCCGACAGGGTCTTTAATTATGTTGTAATATTTTGTTCAAAATAACAGGAGGTTGTTTTCTTGCTGAGAAATGTGCCTTTGAAGAGCTCAGAAGAGATCATCCAGCACGTCATGCAACGCTTGACTGAAGTCAGTCGCGTCCCCACGGAGCAAGGCTGGGATTGCCAGTTTGGGAACAAGAGGTAAGCAAAGAATATATACAGTCAAACCTGTCTATAGTGACCGTCCAAGGGAAACAAAAAAACTTGCCTTTGTAGACAGGTGGTCTTTGTAGAAAGGTGGTCACTAAAGCAGGCTTGACTGTATATGATTAGGTCAAATAAAAAGGATTTCTATATCTTGTCCCCTCATCGTTATATTTTCAACCTATAGCATTTTTTTTAATTGAATAAATAATATGATGAGAACTATCAAAGAGTTTCATCAGGAATTCAGGATGGTTGTAATAATGGTTTGAAAGGTTTGTTATCACATCCAAAAGGAATATTTACATGTAACAGTTTAGTTCTCTTGAGCTCAGATATTTTCCTCAGAGGTAAATTGGCAGACTGAAGTGAGCCGCCAATTTTACGATCGCTGGTGGTTGTAGTTTTGGCAATTACTGCGTTGTATTTTTTTAGGACATTGAGGCAAATGGGTTGACAAAATCACTATATAGCAAACAATGCCTAATCGGTGACCATTGGTCCCCCATGATCCCCTTTTTCCTTTTTTTTAATTGAGAGCTGATTTGATGAGATAACCACCTGTAAGTGACCATGCAGGGAGGTCTTATCCCTCCTGGCCAAACTAGTGCAGATGAGCTTTAATTCATGTCTTGCTATGATCTTCTATTTTTCTGCACAGTTCTTTTGAGAATGTCCACAGCATCAGTCACCTGGCCTACCTTGGTCTTGAGGCGTTGTGCTCCGGATCTCACGGGGAAACCTCTCATATGCTACGACAGGTGAGTTTACCTAGGGAGTGTCTCTCTGTGTCTCTCTCCCTGTTGTGTAAATTGCTGTGTCTCTCTGGGTTTCTGTTTCAATGTACATATATCTCTCTCTCTTGTTCCTTTTCTCTCTTCCTTTGTTCTCTGTCCCTCTACCTCGGTCTCTCTATGAATGTCTGTCTTTCTCTTGATGGTTCTCTCCCTGTCTCTCTCTCTCACGCTCTTGGACCATCTGTATGTTTTGCATATCTTTTATTTTGCTTTATTCAATTCCTTTGTCCTCTTGTGCTATAGGTCTTCAAGCATCTCCTTCCTAACATCCTCATGCTGATAGGTGAGAATCAATCCGTTGCATCAACAAGCATACCAAAACACATCCAACAGATGAAGGATCATGCAGAAGCATTTGCCAGGTAACTATTGATAATGATGATGGTGGTGGTGGTGGTGGTGGTGATGGTGGTGGTGATGGTGATGGTGGTAGTGGTGATGGTGATGATGATGAGGATGGTGGTGGTGATGACGGTGGTGGTGATGACGATGGTGATGATTATAAAGATGATGATGGTGGTGGTGGGGATGATGATGAGGAAAATGATGATGATGATGCATATGATGATGGTGATAATTTTGATAGAAATGTTAAAAATAATGTTGATAGAAAATACTCATGAATTTTTTGGTACTGGACTTTGTGTTCAATCCCATTTATAATAATTTACATTTGTTTCCAGCCATATGTACAAGGAGGTTGGGGAGAAAGCTCTGCCGTTCATGCGTGTTCTTCTTCAGCACATGTGTGTCAAGGTGCCGGACAAGGTGGAGTACCGCTCCCGAGTCTCGCACACCATCGCGCGCATCCTCACTGGAATGCCGGCTGAAACAGAAGCGAGCTTCGTCAAGTGGCTCTTCCTGTACTCCAAGAATGCAAAGGTAGGCAGGAATCAACTTCAAAAGTCATGAAGTGTAAAGTTATGGACGACATAAAAATGAGAAAAAAAAGGATCATCACTTTTTAAACATTTGGATACCTGACATTACCCCTTTAATTACCAGGTGAACTATCCTTGATCCAAGACATAAAATGATATAATTATTACAGAGGGTTCTAGGACAATTTCCCCCTGGACAATCACTACCCGGCCAATTACCAGAGGGACAATTACCCCCCTAGAACAATTACCCCCTGAAAAAATACCCATGGACGATTACCCCCCTCCTGAAAATTAGCCCCTCTGATAATCACCCCCCCCCCCCTCCCCAGACAATTACCACCCAGAAAGAAAAAAAACAAAAATCAGCTTTTATTAAAACCTTATCACGGTAGACTTCCCCTTTAATGAACAGGGGGGGGGGGGGGGTAATTTTCCAGGGGTAATTGTCCTGATACGATCACAGAGAAATTTGTCCACTCCTTTGGGGCTTGTTATTTGAAGCCATAACATTTCTCCATGCAAATTCTTTACTGCCTTCTGTCTACTGTGAAATAAGAGACAACGCATGTATATACAAACTCCCTATTTATTGTATGATTATTGCTTTTAATTACCATGGGCTGTGTCACTCTCTCTCTCTCTCTTTCTCTTTCTCTCACTCTCAGATCGGCTATCGTGTCTTTGCCCTTGAGGTAGTAGGTGCCCTACTGGAGAGACCAGAGAGGCATTCCACAGGTAGGGATCTTATTTTGCTTCTCTCTCTAAAGCAAATTTGATACAGAAACACCATAACTTCATGTCCTTTGCTTGTTGGTGTTTATTTGTTAGTTCGTTAGTTTTTTGTTGTTGTTTGTTATTGTTATTTTTATTCATGCGTTTGCTCTTTTTTTTATTGTATATGTTTATGTTTGTTTGTTTTTGTTTGTTTGTTTTTGTTTTTGTTTTCAGGGGGGGGGGAGGAATGGTTGAACCCAGTTGTCTCATTCAACGCTTTGTATGCCACAGAAACAACAATCTCCCCTTTGTATATATCATGGAATAAATATACCAAAGGCTTTAAACATATTTATCTCTTTCCAGTGTTAGCATCAGTGCTTAAAGAGTTGTCAACAAGCTCATCAAGACCAGAAATTTGTAATTTTGCAAAGCCATTGTTTTGCACAAAGCAATCCTTCCTTCAACCAGTGATGATTGTTTTGTCAAAGTAGACCGGTTTACTATCATTCACATATTCAAATTGTATGCATACTTTTTAAACAAAGGCAAGAAACAAGTAATGTATGCAGACTGGATTCCAAGTATTGTAGTTTATCAATCAATAACTTGTTAATGGAATAACTCCCCACTAGGTCCCCAGGAAAGGAACATCCATGATTTGAAATATGTTAGAAAAACAGTATAATGCGTGTCTGGCAAACGTGCTACCGTCCAGAGAAGTGAAGGAAGCAACCGTATGTGTTAATTCCATTTGTTTTAGGTGAGGCTAATCAGCAGCAGTTCTTATCTCATCGCTTCTTGCTGGACATCATGGTCTCCCGCTGCTCCGACAAGGCTCCTACGTAAGTATCCATCGTCATAGAAACTGAATTTATATTGAGCAGAGCTGTTTATCACCCTTGTAATTCACCTTTTGGGATTGAAAATATTAGAGTAAGATGATTTGAAAGTTCGTGTATCACATCCAAAAGGAGTATTTATTATTACAACCATCCTAATAAAACTCTTTCATAAACTAGAGTATGAATGTTTTGTCCAAGATTTTAACTCGTTTTTCACCGGTTGTCTAAATCAAAACCTTTCTTTTTACTTATAGTACCTCATAAGATACTATAAGGATTTATTTATTTTTATATGAAATACTTGAGATGTGTGGATACATTTCATTTTTACATTTCCACTCTGAACCCTCTGAATGTTGAGTCTTTATGTAATGAGAAATATAAGTTTTTAGAATTCTAGACTTTAAATTTTTTTTAATTTGCTTTTGGTAGATACACATACATGCAAGTATAACTCTCGATGCATCTTAGTCTTTGAAAAACAACAATACATGACAAGAGAAGAGATACAGTAGGAAGAGAGATAACCTTCAGCCATGAAAACATTAATTTATAAGATTTCATTCATATTGTCCCCCCCCCCCCTCCCCCCTCCCTCTCACCCTTTATCCAGGGTGCGAGCCAAGGCCCTGAGCTGTCTTGCCCAGTTTACTGCCCTCGCTGGTAACCAGACGTCCAACCCCCTCTCAGATATTCTAGCTGCCCCTACGGCCAAGACAGGGGCTACTCCTGTACTGGTCCTAGAGCATGTGATCAAGGTATGCAAATTTTGTTATTCCATAATTTCACAATTTTTTGTTGATTGTCTTTCTACTTTGTATTTAAAAATGACCAAATTAACATGTCAAATTTACTGAATCCATTTGACTGCTTCTGCTACTAAAGGTACTATGTCCCTTTTGCAGCCAACCTCAAATTCTTTAGAACTTTGCAGGAATTATGAATATGTCATGTATGTCCTATCTGTGAAATTTAAACGTTAGCAGTGTCCTCATATTCAAATTATGCAAGGAAACCCGTTTACTTGCTAGACTTCACTGTCAGACACTATTGAGTGACTGACTGGCTTTTTTCTTCTTTGGTAATAACATACATGAAAAGAGTTGTAAAGGGTACATGAGCATTTGTCTACATCAATAACCCACTTCTTGTGATGGCCAAGATTAAACTGATTGAATCTTTGCGCAGCATAAAACGTATGACCATTCGGTACAATTGTCTGAAAATCAAGACTATTACTTTTGGGCTCTATAGCCCTAAAGTAGATTTGACAACTAATAGTCGTTATTTTCCCACTTGAAGACATTTTCAAGCCCCACCTTTTTTAGGGAAGTTCTAAATTAGTATTATCTTTCAAATGCAGTTGGAATTTAACTTTTTCATTTTTTTGGCCTGCAAATGGGACATAGTTCCTGACATGAAATTATAAACCCCCAAACTGGTCCTAGAACAAGCGATCAAGGTATGCAGATTTCATAATTCAACATCAAAGAAAAATTCTTGAGTTTTTTTTAAATTTCTATGTATTTGAGTTGAAATGTGAAATATACAAGTAATCTGTTTATCTTGTGATCAAAGATTCATATTCAATGATAATTGCTACAAAATTAACAAATCTTTCACTTTAATCTTTCAATTAATTAAATAAATTCATATAATTTGATTCACTGTCTTATAAACTGATAAACGAATTGCATTTGGTCATGCAGGAAGCAACCGCTCAGTCCACCAAAGATAATCCCCCCGCAGAGCAAGCTGGGATTGAAGCAATGGATTGTGGTCCGACAGCAAAGGAAGAGGGATTGTCCCAATCTAAAGAGGTTTCCATAGAGGAGGAGCAAGCAGAGAATAAACGTCCCTCTGAGCTTAAGAAGGGTGCCACCCCCGGGAACTTATTGGGAGGTTCCCCTGCTCTGCTGTTTGGAGATGAGAGTGCAGTAGGTAAGTGACTTTTCCATCTTGTATCCTTCCCTTTTTTCACAAAATCTTCCTTCTGTAGATGATTGTTTGTTTTATTATTCTTATGATTGTTGTTATTATTATTATTAATATTATTATTAATATCATTATTAATATCATTGTTGTCGTTGTTATTGTTAGTATTGTTATCATCATCATCATTATTATTATTATTTTATTTGCATTGTTTTGTTAATTTCCTTCTAGTTACTTGCGTACAGTGTATCAATGTTCTCTGTTTCATTGTTCTCATCACTTTGTACTACTCAATGGTCGTTTACCATCAAACCTTTTATATTTAGATGCTGCTTGTAAGTGTCGGCTTGCATGGTGATGTAGATATACAGTAGGCTTGCGGGTGCACCATGTGAGAGAGAGAGAGAGAGAGGATTGAGGAGTCCTGAAAAGGACTCTGACTCAGTAATCTTTCTTGGGGGTGTGTAGTCCTAAAAAGGACTGTTTGTTATCTTTTTTAGCTTAAAGTTCTAAGGAGAACTATAGCGCTTGGAGAGGATGGGTGGCTCGACATTTCGAACAGGTTGACTATCCGTCAAATGTTTACTTTGTTTCACTGTAAATCTCTCTCAAGGTTTTGTTGGTAGTAGTGGGCTGCTCAACTGCTTGAAGGAACGGATCTGTGACGATAAAGTTGGAGTCCGCAAGGCAGCTTTGCAGGTCAGTTATCTCAAAAATTATTCTACCAAAATCATTTACAGTATGGCCCTTGAATTTTGATTGTGATAACTTGGACCATTATTATCATTGCCATTGATTAGTTAATGAAATTAGAGCTGCAGTCTGAAATACAGAGTGTATTTAATATTTGTAATGCATTTACACAACATACCATGTAGCAGGGACATGTGTTTTCTTTTTTTTCTCTCTTTTCCCTTTCTCTATCTCAATTTCATATCTTCTCTGGCTCTATTTTAACTTCTCTATTTGTCTCTATGTCTATTGATCACTTTGTCACACATACCCTCCTCTCTCTTCCTCTGTCTCTCTCTTTCTCTCTTGCTCTCTCTCTCTCTCAAACTCAATCTGATGTATTTCTCCCTTTCCTTACTCATTATCTTTCATTCTCTCATTAACCATAGCTGCCAACCCTTCATATTTTTGAGAAATGATTCCAATTTTCTTGGTGTTCAAGCTCCTGTTTTGTACCCTAGATTCCTCCTTTTGGGGGAAAATATTCTTTGTGAATAGTATACAAAATAGACTGTACTCCTAATTTTGCCTCGAGAGATTCCTTACTTTTGCTGTGAAAGGTTGGCAGGTACATGTATGATTTACTGATGCTCACCTCATCTCTTTTAAACTATTTCTTACCCTGCAGGCTCTTGAGAACATCTTCAAGCTCCAGTGCATGAACTTTGACCTCCAGCTGCTGGAGATACTCCGGGAGCGCTGCCGTGATACCGCCCTCTCTGTCCGCAAGCAGGCGCTAGACTCTCTCACCAGCCTCCTCAAGGAAAGCACAACTGACGAAAGGGTCCAAAGGTACAACTCCTAAATATCTCCTTACTTTAAAGCCCCACTGTACTACTTATAACTACCTGTACTTGCGCCCTCTATATAGCAAACAATGCCTAATTAGTGATCATTGGTCCCCCATGATCCTCTTTTCTCTTTTTCTAATGTTAATTGAGAGCTGATTCGTTGAGATAACCACCTGTCAGTGACCTGTCAGGGTGGTCTAATCCTGCACACTAGTACAGATGGGCTTTAAACACTCTATAGGATTGTCTGTAGCTGCCTGTCTGATTCTTAACTGCTTGTATGAAAGAGGCATAGCGGCGGGCTTTCATGGGGAATTTGAAACCATTCAGGTGTTGGCAATCACCAGGATTAGCCTTCAGTATCATGACCAACAGGCCTTATTTATGTAATGCTCAGCATTTCCCACCAATTCCCCCATATGTTCAAATCATTTTGTACATTTTCCTCACCCGAAGACTCTCTGAGAGACTAGGGATATTTGTTGATGGGACCATGGGTTCGCTGTGTGTATGCAAGATTTGTACATCCATTAATGGTATTTCAACCAAGTCTGGCGTCAGCGAATTATGACCTTTTGCACATGGAAATTGATGACTATCTTCCCTTAAGCAACCATTTGGAATGATATCTGTATTTGAATAGAAAAAACGTCTCTTGTTATGCCTCCGTTACGAAGTAGCCGGAGGCATTATGTTTTCGGGTTGTCCGTCCGTCCGTCCGTACGTACGTCCGTACGTCCGTACGTCTGTACGTACGTACGTCCCGTTCTCGTGATCGCGTTATCTGAAGAACTGGTTGATGGATTCCTGCCAAACTTTGGTCATGTATGTATCTTGTAGAGCCAATGAACTGATTAGATTTTGGGGTTACGAGGTCAAAGGTCAAAGGTCAAAGGTCACAGGGCTCATTATGTATGCAAAACGAGCTCGTGATCGCGTTATCTGAAGAACTGGTTGATGGATTCCTGCCAAACTTTGGTCATGTATGTATCTTGTAGAGCCGATGAACTGATTAGATTTTGGGGTCACAAGGTCAAAGGTCAAAGGTCACAGGGCTCATTATGTATGCAAAACGAGCTCGTGATCGCGTTATCTGAAGAACCGATTGATGGATTGCTGCCAAACTTAGGTCATGTATGTTACTTGCAGAGCCGATGAACTGATTAGATGTAGGGGTCACAAGGTCAAAGGTCACAGGCCACAGGGCACATTATGTATGCAAAAACAGCTCGTGATCGCATTATCTCAAGAACCGATTGATGGATTCCTGCCAACTTAGGTCATGTATGTTTCTTGCAGAGCCAATGAACTGAGTAGATTCTTGGTTCATAAGGTCAAAGGTCATGGGCTCATTATGTATGCAAAAATAGCTTGTAATCACAATATTCTGAGAACCTGTTAATGGATTACAATTGAACTTGAATTCGAAAAATTTCTTCTGTTTTGGTTTGTAAAATTGCTCTATGACGGAGGCATCATTTTCGACTGCGCGCAGTCGAAGTTCCATCTAGTTTCTATAAGATCAGAGCCCTGTAAATTACAAGCGTAAGAAAAGAAACCTGTTGCATCTCCAGTTATGCTGACCGAAATTCTTCCTCCCTTGAGGAATGCATCGTCCCATAGCTTTATGTCCATTATCGGATGAACAAAATAAAATGCTTGGTCCCATGAATGCATATCTCTGTTGCTTGCTCATGCCTCATTCCGTGTCATTGATACTTCACAGAGTGTGGCTGCAAGGGATTCTGCCTGCGGTATCCGACCGAGAATCATCGGTCTCTGAGAAATGCCTCCAGCTCCTACAAGATCTCGTCTTGGACGGTGTGTGCAGGAAAGGAGTTACAGAGACAAAGAAACAGCTGGCGTGGAGTCTACTATGCCGGCTCATGGAACCTGACCTGTGCGACCTCAGGTTTGTAGTCATGTGACCTCACAATGCCCCATTTTTTCTACTTTTATTAGAAGGTGTCTATGTAATATTTGGTGATCCGTAATTTGTTTACTCTTGTACATTGTGATCTTGCAGCAAAAGTCAAAAGTGCATGTGTTGTACAATCATAAATCGCTCATTTGAAGAAATAAAAAATCCTCATCAAAGTTTCAAGGGAATTTAAAGCAAGGGGGAAATATAAGTGCACACACACAAATTTAAACAAAACTTACGCTGAATGTTCAAACTACAAATAAATAATATCTGCAAAAAAAATATAATCTCTTCAAACCTTTTTGTTTTATCATGGTATATTTCCAGCGAGTTCATTATCTTTTTCTTATCAAAGTTTTGGGAGGTAATTTAAAGTTTTGGGAAAATATAAATGCCCGCTTGAGAAATTATGAAAAACTTACGCTGAATGTTCAAACTACTCATGAATGATATCTGCGAAACAAATACAATGTCACTTGCCTATAAAGACTGCTCAAGGGATACTTACAAAGTGGTCTTCATAGGCAGGCAGTCTTTATATACAGGATTATTCAGTACAGCTTTCAATGTGAAACCATATTTAAGGAAAACAAAAATGTGGTCTTTATAGACAGGTGGTCTTTAAACATGTGTTCCTCTAGTACAAGTTTCAACGAGAAACCATTTTCAAGGGAACCAAAAAATGTGGTCTTTCTACACAGGTGGTCACTAAAGCAGGTTTGACTGTATCTTATCTTTTCCGACCTCTCTTTACTTTATCAGGGTGTATTTCCAGCGAGTGTGTCAGCTATGGTCCAGGCAGAAGTTACTCACCCCGGCCCTAGTGAGAGGTCTAGCAGAGCACACACAGGGAGATAACGCTGTGGTAAGATGAGGATGATAGTAGATGACTATCATAATTTTTCAAATAAAATTCTTGTAAAATCTTTAAACTTGTCTGCCAATGAAGAATATCTTAGCTTATTCTGTAGTCTCTGTTTCTCCTCATTCCTCTCTTTCTCTGTCTCTGTCTCTTTCTCTTTTGCTCTCTCTTAGTCCCTCTCTGTGTCTCTCTTTCTCTTCTCTGTCTCCCAGTTTAAAATTCATAGTAGTGGACTCTCATGGGGAATTCGACACCATTCAGGTACATGTAGTTACCCAATAACAGGTGTTGTTAATCATCAGGATTAGCCTTTGGTTGTATGCCCAACAGACTTTGCGTCTCAGTTTTTAAGCCCAGTCTTAATAGTGTAATGCACATTGCGATGTACATCTCAATATCCTTGCCATTTGAACTACATGTATTTAATTGCACCTTAATTTTGTATGCACCAGAGAAACGCAAAGGTGCATCTCAGCTGTGCATTTTTACTTTTAGCCATGAGTTATCACTTTTTGTCTCGCCTGCGTAGCAAAAAAGCGAGACATAGGCGCCGCTTTTCCGGTGACGGCGGCGACGGCGACGGCGGCGGCGGCGTCAACATCAAAAACTTAACCTAAGGTTAATTTTTTGAATTTTTGATATAATTTTGAATGTATAAGTTCTTAGTCAATGAAACTTTGACTATAGGGTAATCAAGTATCCCTAATCATGTGAGTAGAATTTCAGATCACAAAGTCAAGGTCAAAGGTCAACAAACTTAGACTTTGTTGTGGCATCAACATCAAGATTTTCAAAATGCTTCTTCTTCGTTATTTTTCAACCGATTTTGATTCTGATTGTTTCATATGATAGGGCTAGGAGGGGGATTTAAAATTTCTACACAGAATCGTGAAATTCATTATCTATGCTAATTTTTGCAAATTTGTTCGAAATCACAAAAAAGGCTTCTCCTCCTTCATTTCTAGACCGATTTTGATTTGGTTTGCTTTATATCGTAGAGCTAACTTTGGTACATTAAACATCTACACAGAATTTTGAAATTGTTCTCCATTAATTAATTATGGTAATTTATGCAAAATTTATTCCAAAAATAACAAAAATTGCTTCTTTTCCCTCATTTTGTGACCGATTTTGATTTGGTTTGCCTTTTCTAGTAGAGCTAAATTTGGAACACTAAACTTCTACACAGAATTGTGAGATTTTGCTCCATTGATTATTTATGGTACTTTATGCAAATGAAATGAAATTATGTACCTTCCAGGGCATCAAATTTTTATTTTTTGACCAGTTCAAAAGTGTACCACATAAAATTTAGGATATTTGTTGTTGCGAGATGCGGATGAGCGCTACGTCATTGATGTTCTGGTTTATCATATTGAATTGCGTTATGCAGGCGAGACCGCCGAGAGTGTTTCCCTTGTTTCTTTGTATATCGTTGTCTCTGTACTTGCCTGTCTTACCCATCTTTCAAGTCTTCTTCATTCTTACCACTCTTTAAAATCACTTTTAAAAATGATGTATTCAACTATTTTTCTGTCCCTCTGTTTTGTAGGCTGCCTGGATGTTCCTCGCCCAAGTATCTCACTTCTGCCCCCACCTGGACAAGACCCTGGTCCTTGCGACCTGGCATGACCTGACCTCTGACCTCACCAACAGGTCGGTGAATTGTACAGGTCAAGGGTCATCAAACTCTGAGATCTTGACCAGTGTTCTATCGGTCATCGGGGGTTTAGCGAGTCACCTGACGGAGAAAGAGAGGAAAGATCTGGTGCAGGAGATTGTCAAGCGTCTTGTGGCGGTGATGGACACACCTAATATCATGGGAGCGATGGTTGAAACTCTGTATAAGGTGAGCAAATGGATTGAAGAATGGTAACGATGGTGGTGGTGGTGGTGGTGGTGGTGGTGGTGGTGGTGGTGGTGGTGGTGGTGGTGGTGGTGGTGGTGGTGGTGGTGGTGGTGGTGGTGGTGGTGGTGGTGGTGGTGGTGGTGGTGGTGGTGGTGGTGGTGGTGGTGGTGGTGGTGGTGGAGGAGGAGGAGGAGGAGGAGGAGGAGGAGGAGGAGGAGGAGGAGGAGGAGGAGGAGGAGGAGGAGGAGGAGGAGGAGGAGGAGGAGGAGGGTGGTGGTGGTAGTGTTGGTGGTGGTGAGGATGCTGATGAAGATGATGATTGGGAGGAGGACGAGGAGAGGGAGGCGGTGATGGACTCCCCTAATCTTGTGGGAGCAATGGTTGTAACACTGTATAAGATGAGCTAATGGTTATACTAATGTTGATGATAATGATGATGATTAGTAGGGGGTATGAGGGAAGTGAGGACGGGTCTGTGCTGTGACCGTTCTTGAGTTCTTGAACTGCTACCCTCGTCTTAGACTAGATCCTACATGTAAGTCACAATATTTTGTATGGCTGTGTCCAATAGTTGTTTACTTTTTTAGGTGTGTTCATGTAGCTGTGCTGTGTATATTTTGCTGTGAAAAAAACCCCAATCCCTATCTTTGACCAGATATATGATCAGAACCTAGTCCTGTCTCTCCAGTACTATAAGGACTTATGTTTTCTCTTTAATAGCCATGCTGGCACTGTTTTTGAAAACGGAACTGCCTCATCTTGACAAGATTCTAGTCCTACCACTCTTATCTTGCTCTTTTAATACTTTTTGTGTTCTCGTGTGTGTAGTTGTGCCGTGCCTGTGTTGGTGAGAACGAGACCACCAACCCACTCTTGGACCAAGCCTGCAACAAGATCCTGCAAGCCTGCGACTCCTACCTCTCACAGATCCTCCTCACTGAGGATGCGCCCAAGCCGGACGACGCGACGGAGGAGATGCTCATTGCCCGCATCTTCCTGCTGGGCGAGATAGCCCAGCTCTGCCCCTACAGGATGCCACGGAGGGTCTTCACGCTAGTCCAGTCCCTACTCGCAGGACCAGGAGCTATTTCGGAAGGTATGAATATTTGTCTGTTACCTAAAACACATTTAAAAGGTATAGGAGGGTCTTCACACTAGTCCAGTCCCTCCTCGCAGGACCAGGAGCTGTTTCAGAAGGTACAAATATAGTTTTCAAGCTAGAACACCATTAATAAGGTGTAGGCATCTGTGGGTAATCGTCTGTGGTTCCTGTTGGCAAGACCAGGGTCCATGTCTGGGATCAAAGGAATGTTTTTTTCCTAAAAATTTAGATTTTCAACGATTACAAAATGTGTGGGTTGGGGGGGGGGGGGGGGAGGGGGAGGAATGATCGTGCATTGTCTTCACTTTGGTCCAGGATATGCAAGCATGACTAGTATGTTTTGGGTGTTCACAAAGGAAAACCTCATACGTAATAAACTCCTGTTATGCAAAGGCAGAAAGGCATGAGATAAGATTGCAGTTATATGATTTGATTTAAGTATAGGCTACATCTATTTGACATGTGATTAGTGCACAAACCAAAAAGTACAGAAAATAACAAAAGTAAACTCATTCCAGATCTGTAAACAGACAGAATGGAAATATTGGGTCAAATCTTTGCAAATTAGTATAAATACGGAAAACTAGTTTACTCCACTTTCTGAATGTAAGAGTCTTCCTTCATGTACAGTAGCACTTTAACCCATTCCCTACTGGAACTTTGTTAACCCCGTATTAAACCTATGGCAATGAATCAACTCAGTAGTCAACAAGGTAACATTGCTTCGTACCTTCCTCCAAACTGCAGGCTCCGAACACCCCAGCTCTCAGGGTCTGACCCAGTTCTCCCAGCAGCCGCTCTCCCAGTTCCGCACCACCGGCTCGCCCGTGTCCATGGCCGTGCGAGCCCACGGGTTCGTGACCCTGGGGAAGCTCTGCCTCCATCACGAGGGCCTCGCCAAGCAGTGCATCGCCGCCCTCGCTCGGGAGCTGGAGATCGCAGAAGACGCAGCCGTGAGGAACAACGTGGCCCTGGTCATGTGTGATCTTTGTATCAGGTAGGTTGGAATACCCTAATTGTTGAATTGATTAATTTTAATTGAATATATTTGCAGCACATCGCTATGATGATGGTATATGAACTATCATGCAATGCAAAGAATAGTAATGACACTTGAATACACAAAGGAAAAGTAAAGATATTTAGACATAGATCTGCATACAATTCATTGTACAAGATATACACAGCCGAAATCTTGGAAATTCGCAGGCAACAAGAAATTTAGGATGTATTAAGGTGAAGTTGTTGATAGAAACTAGAAGTTAGCACAAGAGCTACTTGAATCTTTGACAGTTTGACCTTTTGACTAAGCATTGACACTGTTCATTGACCTTTGATCCCTATCTAGGTACCCTAATCTGGTCGATCGCTACGTGCCTAACCTAGCCGCATGCCTGAGAGACAAGGATAAGCTAGTCAGGAAACAGACGCTCACTCAGCTCACCCAGCTAGTTCTGGTAAGCAAAGACTTATATACAAGTATTTGATTAATGCTAAATACATTACTCATTGCGGATGTATAGTATCAAAAAATTGTATTGCTAGTGATATTCATTTGTCTCGCATTGTATGGTCACTCTCTTTGCTTCAAGTGGAAGTTCACCGTGATATTAAATTGGTTTTAATAAAAGCAGAAAAGTGAGAGGAACAGGTCAATGAAAGTTTGACAGGTCAATGAAAGATTAAAAATAAGAAAGTTATACATTTTTGAAGTTGAAAGCAATCAAACACAAATTGGCAATACTGTGATGTATCTTACAAGCTCCTCTCCAATTTTCTTTGTACCTAAAGTTTCATAATATATAATTTTCTCTGTTATTGAAGTTCAAATGATTTTTCCCATACAGGAGTTGAATGGAAAGATATTTGCAAAAATTGTTTAAGGGGCATATATAATGGATTTTTAAAATTTTAAATAAATTCTTTATTTCTCTCTTAAAAAGGAAGTCCAAGGTTTATTGGCATTTGCTGTCCCTATATTACTAAGAATAATGATAACTAAACAAGAAACATCAGTGCGAGTGACCTTCTGCTGACCTTCATTATTTTTGTGTTTATCAGGAGGACTATGTCAAGTGGAGAGGACCGCTTTTCTACCGTTTTGTGTCTGTCATCGTGGATGAGGTGGACACTGTTAGAGACTTTGGTAAGATATATCTGTCATAAACTTCTCATTCCAATTTTTGTTCTGCACTTGTCAATATTACATTCATATTTTCTTTATATTGTTATCTGTTATGATATTCCATCTTGTATCTTTGTATATATTGTCATGACAGGATTCCCAACATGATTCCCAATCCTTTTAGGCACCTCCCCTGTATATTACATGTGTAATGAAGTAAAACTAAGTGACAAATATGCACTTTTTTGTATTTTTTTCCCTCCAGCTGAGTATTGTTTGGTTGAGCTCCTTCTCAAGCGCCATCCTGGTATGCTGGTGCAGCAGTTCGTTGAGAGCATTTTCCATTTCAACAATTATCAAAAGCATGCAGGTAATTTTAAGTGCTAACCTGTATTCTATTCATTCTGTGAAACTCCATGCAAGTACTGCAGTCAGGTTTAAAGTTTTACACCAAAGTAGATCTTGGTGTAACTTTCTTTGTTAAATTGAATTTTAGACAAAGCATGAACCCATTTAGTAGAATAAAAGATGGCCTCTGCCCCCCCCCCCCCCCTCAAAAATAATATTTTCAATCAATTTTTGACATCTAATAACAAAACTAGAATTTTCAATGGCTTAAGAAAACTTTTAATAAACTTGGTCATGAGTTTTTGATGTCACTCTCTCAATATTCACCCATGACTCCAGCTTCTGTTGTTGAGAGAGTCTTCCATTGTATCAATTATTGAAAGCATGCATGTAATTTTTTTGCCCCTCCCTTTGGTATGCTATGTACTAGATCATATAATAATAAACTTCACTTACAAAATTCAAAATCCTGACACAATTTAGTCTCTTGCGCAGCAACATTTTCAATATTTGATTATTTCATGCACATACCCAGCTCGACTCATTTCACTCCATTGGGAGTGTTGAGCTGTCTAAATTTAGATTCAGATTCTTTACTAGACTATTTTCTTAACAGCCGCAATTTATTCCTGCCAATTTACTTCAATCCATAGTGCCTTGCATGTAGTAATCACTGTCTTCTTACAGTCTTCAATCAGTTCACCCAGTCGGAACGAGAGAGGGAGCTCTTCAGTCTCGAAGGGCGTGAGAACTCGGACAAGAGGATGACCATCTTCAAGTTCATGCTCAAACACATGACTGACGAACATCGCTTCAAACTCACCGCCAAACTTGTACAGGAGGTAAACATTTGAACAAGCATCGTTTGTTTCAGGCTGTCATTCAATCGTTAAAATAGTAGAGTTTGGGTTGCAATGGGCTACGTTTAATTTTTTTTTCTTATTTATTTCATTACGGCAATACAAAACCTGCTTTCAGCTGCAAGGCTGTTTTTCAGCAGATCCGTATACAAAAGAAGACAAAAAATGTATCGTGATCAAATCTCTGTAACTTTTTAAAAAACTGATTGGGAAGATATGCTGGGTGCATTTGATAAAAGCCTGTAGTTTGGTTTGCGTTCCTACAGTTGGGTATTGGGGTAATTGAAGTGACCATATTTACCTCCCCTAAGATAAGTTTAAAGGAATATAACTGCTCCATTTGTTATACAATATCTTACATCTGCAATGCACTCATGACTTACTTGTGAGGAAACCTTGTGAATCAGCTTTTGAACATTCAGTAGATGACATGATTCTTAAAGTTGGTACCTTTCAAGATTTGTTTAATTCAAAAAAGTATACTACTTTGGAAAGTTTATCATTCAATTACTATTTCTGTTTTACATCTTTTGATTGATCTGTTATGGCTAGGTTCTTGGAGCGTTTGTGGATGGAGCCATTCCGCTTGACAGTGAGTCCAGCAGCGTCCTTCAAGATACACTCCAGATTCTCTGCTGTAAGGTAAGATATATGTTAAATGTAACCAATGGATTCTAGGTTTCACACCTGAACCTGAACCTAAGCATTGACAGACAGGAGGAACTCAGCCAAATTAGAAGTTTCACATCTTGTCAATCAACTCTTTCAATGACTCCTTTCTTGCTGTCAAGCACATGCTATGTAATCTTTATTACATTATGTACGGTCTATGTTACATGTAGCGCTAATTAAATTCAAATGTTGGTATACACATACAAACATGTCCATGTGAACAATAAAACTTGTTGTAAAGTCCACTTGACAGTGAGTCCAGAGGCGTCCTACAAGATACACTCCAGATTCTCTGCTGTAAGATGAGATGTTCAGGGAGATAGTTAGCTCAGATTTTTATTATGATGATGATGATGTTAAGATAGATGATGATATTAAAATTTGCATAACTTTCTATACTCACTTTCATACTCTTTTGACTCAAACAGGAGATGAAGCTTGCCTCTCTGCACTCCAAGCAAGCTAACCCAGACGACCTCGTGGAGGAGATGCAGATGGCTGAAGCTGTCATGGCCCAGGCAAAGACCAAGCTCATATCACAGGTGGTCAAGAAGAACGTCATCGAGAACATCATCCCCGTCATCATCGCTCTCAAGCACATGGTAGGTTGTAAAATGGTGTTAGGACAGCCATAAGGCCTATCAAAAAATGATGTTGTATTGCCCTTTAGGTGCCAAAACATGGGTTAGTCAGTCAGAAATCTTTTTTTTTTGTCTCCCTCTTTGGGCTGATATATTTCACCTTTGAATGCTTTAATTCATTTTTTTCTTCTAAAAAAAGGTAACATTTTTTTTAAAGCTGGCTGTAGATTTCAAGATTTTGGGGTCAGTCGCAAAGGGTATTACAAGATCTTTTTTTGTACACCTAATAAATACCGATACACCACTTTTTCTTGCTCATATATCTTGTAGTTTCATTTGCATCGACTATTACGTGATAAATTTGCTGCTTATTGAAATTTACGCATTAGAGGTATTATTGGCCTTGAATTTTGCAATTCCTGTGAGAGGGGGTAAAATATGCGATTCATCTTGTTGGTTTAGTAATATTATGAATAATCATAGTACATGGTTCTATGTTGATCCACTTGCATATTAATATCTTGCAATAAAGGAATTTATTTGAATTTTGTATGAGGCCTACCTTTTATTGTTTAGGCTGACATGCATAAGTGATGGGTCTTGTTTTCAGATTTGTTCTGTCAGAGTCCTATTGCTTAAGTTTTACTTACAAGTGCATCTAATGATATGTATGCTGAAATACAACAAATGGTAAGTTATGTTTGATTGAGAAAATAGGTCAGTTAAAAAATAATTACTCTTCAAAATGGTCCTGTATGATAAAATAAAAGAAGGTGGCAATCCCAAGAAAATTGTAACCTTCTTTGAGAATATATTACATTAATAACAATGATCCTTGATGTGTTTTTCTGTATCCTATTAGTTGGAGGCGAAGCATTCTCCGTTGCTAGGCGACCTGATGCTCTATTTGAAAGAACTGATGAAGGAGTATCGCAATGAAATCAAAGGTATCTTGATATTTTTCTCTTTGCTATTTTCAGCATCTTCTCATTTCATTATTTAATGACCCTAGATTAATGTTCAATTATGTTTGATGTATCCTTTTGTAATGGTGCAATAATCAAAATTAATATCAGTTACTTAGAAAATTTAGTCCTTACACATTTTGGCGTTTCAATCAATTTCTAGTGCCATTCATAGGAAAGCTCCTATAGTAAATTAAATATTTATTAATTTATTAATTTTCAGTGATGGCTTTAAAAACCAAGGTGCAGAAAGCAAGACAGATGGAAAACTGTGATTACTTCCTAAGTTCTAAGAATTACACTGTGTCAGATTTAAGACAGAGGCTTTGAAAATATGATAGTGATAAAGGCATGTATAAAGTACATCTGTAGTAAACAATTCTAGATTTCATATTCAACATTCACACATCAACGTATCTTTCCCTACCAGACATCCTGTCCGCCGATCGTCAGCTCGCCTCAGAGATTGAGTTTGACCTGCGTAAGTTTGATGAGCAGCAAGCAGAAGCATCCAAGCAGGCCGTGCAGGAGAAAGATCAGGATAATACACCAGGCAAGGGAGCAGCGGCAGCGGCGCCCATGGCTGACGGGGTGCAGAAACCTCCCACTCCAGGACTACCCAAGGTGACATAAAACTTCCTTGATTTGTCAATTAGTGCGATTTTTACTGCTACAACTTTAGCAAATGTCAAAATTTAGTTCTGTGTTTGTTGTGATTGAATGATTTGTGCACCATTGGAACTACTTCTTTAAAGATAAACTTTAGTACTGGTAATGCGATTGCATTGTGAAAGAAAAGGTGTGGAAAGGATCAGAAACAGTTGATCATGTAGCATGTAAGTATTAGTGTGCACTGCAAGGTTCTGGAGTCATCAAAATCATAATAAATTTGACCGAGTCTTTGTAAAGTAACAAGCACTCACATAGAAAGCTATATATGGGACAACACACATGGTGTCGGGGCTAGTACTACCTTGATTTCCTTGTCTTTCTATGCTCATTACTCAGCCAGTATACATTCTCTTCCAAAATTGTTTGGCACATGTCATTTATTTGTAATCTTGAACATTCAGTGTAAGTTTCGTTTGATTCTGTGAGAATTATTATTATTTTTTTACCAGTACTGGAGTTTATCTTTAATGGACTGATTTGCTTAGTTGCCCATTGTATTTGGATACATTGTGAACTCATTTTTTCTGTGTGCATTACTGTATCATATAACATGTGATACCCTATGATCATGGCCCATCGCACAAAACTTACCATTGATGGTAACTACCATGGAAACCTTGATTTTGATTGGCTGTTGAGCCCTGTTACCATGGTAGTTGCCATTGATGGCAAAGTTACTCTCAATAGTAAGTTTTATGCAACAGGGCCATGGTATAGTTTAACAAAAATGTAAGTGCAGTGACCGGTACTTAGAACACTGATAACTGAGTATGCTTAGTGGCTTTTATTACAGACACCTCATCTTACCCCTACTTGCCATACGTCTAAACATTAAAAAAGAAATTCAATTCAATTCAATTCAAATGAACATTTATTTTCTTCCAATCAATTTGACAACATATTTGACATCTGTTCAAACAATACTTGTATTACAAGGAAGAAGGCACATAAACCGATGAGCAAAGCTTGTAAGGAAAAGAAAAAAGAAAAGAAATCCCACTGTGGTTTAACTCGTCATATATGTTGTTTTCTCATTGCAGACACCACAGCTGCTCTCACCAAAAGCAGTCGCAGGTCGTTCACCCCGAGTCATGAGACAGAGCCCGAAGACGCCTAACGCCAAGGTTGCTCCTACCAAGTAAGTCCTCATTCAGCATCACTATTACTGTGACAACAAGATCATTTCCACAATATCTTCATCAAAATTACAATTGTTATGGCTACCATTATGGACATTGTTATGGTCATTATTATGAACATCATCATCTAAAAATTCCATTATCATCAAAATTTGTAATATCACAATCATGGTCGTCATCACTACCAACATCTTTGTTAACATCAATTCATCATCATCATCATCATCACCACCACCACCACCACCACCACCACCACCACCACCACCACCACCACCACCACCACCACCACCACCACCATCATCATCATCATCATCATCATCATCATCATCATCATCATCATTATCATCACATCATCATTATCATCACCACCATCACCATCACCATCACCATCATCATCATCATCATCATCATCATTATCATCATCACCACTATCATCACATCATCATCATCATTATCACCACCACCATCACCATCACCATCACCATCATCTTCATCATCACCATCATCATCATCATCATCATCATCATCATCATCATCATTATCATCATCACCACTATCATCACATCATCATCATCATTATCATCACCACCATCACCATCACCATCACCATCATCATCATCATCACCATCATCATCATCATCATCATCATCATCATCTGCACCCAGCAGCCTTCTTAGCCCTAGAATGAAGGGTTGAGTTTTAGCAGATGGGGCTCTAAGCATCATTGTTACCATGACAACAGTATCTTTATATTATCACCATCCAAACTCCCATTGTAGCTAGTTTCATCTTCATTGGGGTTTTCGTGATATACCTTGTGACTTGATATGATGACTAATATTTCTTTCTTCATAGCCTTCTCCTTCACTTTAACCTTGTCTGAATAAGACAAATGTTCAACAAGATTGTTAAGGAGACTTCATGTGCGCACAGTCAAGGCCTTGAGGACTGAGACCGACACCAGGGGAGGTGTATCACAAAAATCCTAAGTTGAACTTATCTCTAAGTTGGACTTAACAATTATGGAAAGCTGTTAGCATCTATGAAAATATTTTGTAAAAGTTATTTTAAAAGGTATAAAATGTTGATTCAAATCATTCATATTTTCTATTCTCAAGGAAATTTCATGTTCTTGATGTGGAATTTATAAAAAGTATAAAATACTTGATTTTTCACTTTTGAATATTTTTTGTTTTAAGGCTACAAATGGCTCTCCATAATTTTTAAGTCCAACTTTAGAGTTAGGTTTGACTTTGTGAAACACCCCAAGGACTTTTCTTGATATGTATTATACAAACTATGCTTGCTAATATTTCGTCCTCATTTATCCATACTTCAGAGAGAGACTCCTTGCTGCGCAGGCCATCGTCAACTCCGCCCGTCGAGCCTTCGCGACCGCCAGGCGTGCCAACACCCCCAGTAGCAACACCCCAGGTACCAACGCAAGCCCAAGGGTGCAAGGCAACACCCCTCCGCCACCCCAGCCCCAACCTGAAGAGGAGATAGAGGGGGCAGTGGAAAAGGGCGGGGCAATTACTGGTATCGAGGAGAGGGTTCGAAGGGTTCGTGTCAGCGAGGACATCACCCCCGAAGCTGGCCTGCGATCACCATTGAGGGAATCCTATGAGCAGAATACCTCAAAGGTAAATGCAAAATTTAAGAATGGTTTCAAAACTGAAAAAATATCAGCCCAAAGAGGGAGAAAAAACAAATTCTGACCAACCGACCCATGTTTTGGCACCTAATTGGCAACACAACATCTTTTTTCTTTAGGTCTGAGACAGATTCTTTCATGATGGATTTAATATCAAATATCATCATTATTCACAACAGAAGGATGACTATTTATTTTCTTCCTTGAATTATCTGTCCTTTCTTTCTTTACAGGAAAGTGTCTCAGACCTCCAGCGAGCCATCAGCACGCCCGATAAAACCATCGCTAACATCACCTTCCAGGCTGCCATGGACATGAGCATTATACCCCTGTCCTCTCCCATCCCGACCTCCCTACCTATCAGGGTCTACAGCGAACACCAACCTGCCAAAGGTAAAGATCTTGTTCTCATTCACAACGTCGCTGTTCTTGGTCCCATATCACTTAAAGACACATAGAAGTGACTGTGGTCACCTTTAAACCAAGCTTCTTGTCTTTTATTAGACAATAAAAATGTACTCTATATTTGTAGAAAGTTATGATACTTTACTGTGTTATCTTATACGGGATGTCTATTTATTCAAGTTTAGGCTTTGTACTAAACACACAAACATGTATTATGTTAGATACATAGAATGGAATGTAGCTTAAGTTGTACCTGTATTCAATAATTCATATATACACCAGTGTTAAATGTTAAGATACCGTACTTTAAAGGTACCAGACATGGTTAGCATTTTATGATATTTCTGGTCCCTATTATTTATTCAAGATATCTGTTAAACATACATTTATTTTTGTTATATTACTGTATTTGAAATGGATAATAAAACCTCAAACTCAACTCAACTCGGAAGTGGGTTCTCATTGGGAACTCGACACCATTCAGGTGTTTATCCAATAACAGGTGTAATTGTCAATCACCAGGATAAGCTTTCAGTTTTATGACCAACAGGCCTTACGTAAAGCAGTACATCCCACATGTGGTTAACTCATTATCTTGCCTTTTCCCTAACCTGAAGACTATCCGAAAGACAAGGAGATAATTCTTGTTAGGCCTACAGGTTATCTGTGTGCAGACTTTTACATACATTAATGGTAATTCCACCAAGTCTGGTGTCAGCGAAATAATGCCTTCTGCAAAAAGAAAATGTTTGGGTTGATTGTATCTCCCTGAAATTAATCGGATCTTTATCAGTTTATCATAACTTTACAATAAGTAATAATTTATGGTTTGTTTTACCTGACTGCTAAGAAAGCATGTGTATGCATGTAAGTATGCAGCCAGGGGACCGATGGCATTAAGTTCTCTCTGAGGGACTTCGTAATGAGGATTAATGCCTTACCACTTGTTTTCTTCCGTGACAAGGTACAAAGAGTTGGGCTCCGCAGCTGGACTCTCACGAGGAGGTCAAGGTCAAGCAAGAGAATCTCGTCCTAATGTTCTCCCCCGAACAACCGTGAGTAACGACTCCTCTGTTTATCCTACAAACTCTTACAGAACTTGAACATGTTGTTCAAAGGTCAAAGTTGAATTCCACATTTTCATTACAAAACAGTACATAGAACAGCTGCCAACCATTCCTATTTTGGAGGAATGTTTCCTATTTGTTGGCCTTCAAACTCATGTTAGATTTCTCTCTTTTTCTGAAATATTCTGTGTGAAAAGTATACAAAATAGACTGTATTCCTAATTTTGCCCTGAGAGATTCCTAATTTTTGTTGTGAAAGGTTGGCAGGTATGATAGATTGCATGAAATAGACTTTACAAAGTAAGTTACCTTTCCACTTCATGATCATAAGATAACAAGGAGAGCATAAAGATCATGAAAATTTTGACAAACAAGGACAATTTAAATTCATAACTAAAAAGTAATCACATATAAAAGATTGTGGTTCAATCAGATTCAGTTAATAACAAAGATAATAGATTGATCCCAGTAGAAATTACTTCAAACCATCATGTTGATGTGGTAATTATCTTTCTTCAGAGCTCCCAAGCCCAGACTCTGGAACATCACCTCCCCTCGGGCTGGCCAGAAGCAGGGTAGTCGTCGACCACCACCGGCAGACTCCCAACCATCATCGACCTCCTCCGACAAGACGGAACCGGCGGGAAGACGAAGCAGAAGACGAGGCCCGTCCGAGAACGTACCCGAGCCGGAGAGACGACGGAGCGGCCGAACTACAAAAGCTCGCTGAAACATTGATAAAGTTTGACTGTATGATTGCTTCCTATTATTGTGGCTTGTTTTTTTTATACAAAAATGTACTCTTTTGACCACATAGTCAATATTACCTTAAAGGTAATACAAAATTTGGGGAAATTTTGAAAATTGGCTGGATTGGATATATTATAAGCACTAAAAACTTTAGCCCCTAAAACACTTCTGCTTTCGAGAAAAATTAAATGTAAAAATTTACTGGTGCTCCCGGTAAATTTCATTAATTTTCAAATAGCGCCTACGGCCATACAATGGTAGGTGCGACCATGAAAATCTCAGAATATGTAGTTGTGATATATAATTTCCAAACGGGAATAGCCAATTGGTCGATTTTAGTCAAGAAACATTGTTTTATAGGTAAATCAATATCTTGACCTTGAGAGGGAGCTATACAACAAAAAGAGTTTATTATTTACAATTTCATCACTTTAGACTTGATTTCAACCACAACAACGATCACTGAATATTGTAGGATCGCATATGTTTCCAATATGTTCATTTGAACCAAATTCTTGACCCCATACCAAAACTTTGTATTACTTTTGAAAGGGAGTGGAATATATACTGATTAGGATCCTTGCAATCGATATCACATGACGAGCTGTGGACCAGTCCCTCCTTTGTATCTGTTTGAGTTATCTATTGTTAAGTTATAACAAGCTTTATATAAATGTTCTTTGGCACCAAAATGTTACCATGTGAAGGCTTTAAAATGTAGATGTTACTGTGTTGGCACAGAATATTATATTGTATTGTATTGGTTAATTCAACATTAGTTTTGAGAAAATTTAAGCTTTGAAAATGTCTGGAAATGTTCAGAGATAAAGATTTTAGTTTGCAAAGTAAAGTAATGAGGACTTTTCATATTATGGTATTAAATTTCTGCTTTATTAAGTACATTATGTGGATGTAATCTTTTATCATCTTTATATCATCCCTAATTGTCCTTTTTTATGTTGATAATGAATTTTAATTTGGAAACAATTTGTCTTTGAATCGCTTGTGATGTTTTCTTGATTTTATCTTTCCATTTTTATTTTCAAAGTGTATTTTTATTGATTCACATGTAGGCACTATTCAAATGGATTCATTTTCACTCTGCCTTAGAACCATACCTTAAAGCCCCACTGCACTACTTATAGCTACTTGCGCCCTCTATATAGTAAACAATGCCTATTCGGTTACCATTGGTCCCCCAAGATCCTCTTTTTCTTATGTTAATCGAGAGCTGATTTGATGAGATAACCATCTGTCATTGACCATGCAGGGAGATCTAGTGTCCCTCCTCGCCAAACTAGAGCGGTGGGGCCATCTCGTGTCAGCTGAACGTAGCAGTACGGCCCCATAACTTGCTCCTTCCCTAGCTGCGCTGTTGGCTCTTGCACCAAGTTCTCTGTCTGTGGAGTAGGTATTGGGTATTGGGTTGTGTGCACTGTTGGCAAATTGACCATGAGATGGTGCTGAGCAATAAACAATATGCTAAGGCAGAATTTGAGAAAGTTCATCAGTTTAGAATCACTTTAAATGAGAATGTTAAGTTTGTGTAAAGATTAAGTGTAATATTATACAGTAATGTGTATGCTTTCTCTTTCTTTGTATATTAGTAGTAATGCCCTACCCCCCCCCCCCCCCCCCCACACACACACATACACATAAGATTGCTTTTCAGATGCCCCCATAATCAACATTTCCATTCTCAATTATTTTTAATCTTTTCATTTCTGATTATTATAGTTTAACCTACCAGTCGGTAGCAATTTGCCTTTTTATTTTCCCTTTGATGAATGATTAAACACAAGAACTCCCTTATATAATTGCTCTTCATTTATCAAAAACAAATAATGCCTTTATCGTAATTTGCAGGGATTATGGTGACAATTTGGAAATTATAATAAAAGTCACACACTAACAATAATGATTAATTTTGCTGATTTTTTTGTATGTAAACTATGCTTTCAATAAAGTTTGATTTACTAATTCGAAGAAATATTGTCTTTTAGTCATTGTTTTTGTTTTGTTGATGAAATACCTGTATGTTGTAATATTATCAGTTAAAAACAAATGCATGTTGTGTGTAAAGGGCTAGTCCACTCCCCCCCCCCAAAAAAAAAAATACTTTCAATAGAAGCCCCAAAATCAGACAAACCAATCAAAAAAAGTTTGAGCAAAATCGGATAACTACTTAGAAAGTTATGAATTTGTAATTACATGAACAACTTTGAAAATCACTAGACGAATTAGCAACTCACTCATGAGTTTGTGACGTCATTGCCTCACTATCAACTAATTGTTTTCTTCATATTGATAACAAAAATTTCCAATAAAATCCCTTCAAATCCAAGTTCTATTAATAATGATATGCCCTATGTTTTTGAGTGGATGCACTGATATAGAGTAATTTTTTAAATTCATGAATGAAGGGACTTTTGATCAACTATTTATATAAAAATCAATGATTATGAATATACAATATTCAGAAAATACTATAAAATCTACTAAGTTGATAAAATATCTTGTCAGTGAAATGGCATGCACGCAATATGATACAAATCATATACCCTGGGCAAAGGACGTTACAAACTGATAACCAAATTGGCAATTTGTGTAGTGATTTTTCAAAATTTCAGTTTTTCATACTCATTATATAACCGCATTTACTCAAATTTGTTTTGCTCCATAGTCTCTTGTTTTCTGCATCTATTAAAGGAAAATTATTTTTGGAGTGGACTTAGTCTTTAATATCTTCTCTTCTCCCCCTTTCTCTCTCTCTCTCTCGCTCTCTCTCTCGCTCTCTCTCTCTCTCTCTTGAACGTATACTGAGTTACATAAATGTCATTTGGAACCCTCCTTTAAAAAAAGCCCCACTGCACTACTTATAGCTACTTGCGCCCTCTATATAGCCAACAATGCCTAATTGGTGCATGTTTGTCCCCCATGATCCTCTTTTTCTAATGTGAACTGAGATTTGATGAGATAACCATCTGCCAGTGACCTATCAGGGAGGTATAATCCCCCTGGCCAAACTAGTACAGACGGGCTTAACAGGTTGTCATTTTTCAATTTGTTTTTGAGTAAATTTTTTTTTTTAAATGCCTTCAAATAGCCATTCACTTCTCTCGTCCTTTTGTATTCAATGATGCAGAAATGCGAGATTATTTCCATAAAAATGATATCATTTATTTATTTCCCTTTTACCTCCGACACATAGTACATGTTTACATATTTATACATTTTAATTCAAATTTTCAAAATTGTATACAAATTTAAAAAACATTCACCATCAAATAAAAATACGCAATCTACTTATATAACAGATTTGCACCAACAAATGTATTAAGTTTGTTAAGAAGCCCCTTATTCCACTTTGTGTTTGTTAAACAGATTTAACGCCCTTTTTGGTTCCCAGGAATAATAATATACCATCAAATTGCTGGTATAAAATCGAAAACATCTCTGACTATCTACATTTCTTTTTTAAAAAAGGTGATAATAATAATGAAGCAAAATGTTGGAAGCACTTTTCCTGGTTTTTGCAATGTCCCTCATAGATAACTATCCAATGTGTGCAGGCCTACGTCTAGCAACTTGTCCCAGACATTGTTAAATTTGCAGGCACAAACGCTTAAAATTTGACACATACATATGGGTATTTTTAAACGCCCGAATGCAATGTTTGACTCTTTGGGGATGGGGGTTGTCTATCTCCATCGACAGGTAACATTTCTGGGGGGTGTTTCACAAAGATCCTAAGTAGAACTTAACTCTAAGTTGGACTTCAAAATTATGGACAGCCATTGGAGTCTTAAAATGAAATATAAAATTATTCAAAAGCAGAAATTCAAGGATTTAAGACTTTTTATAAATTCCACATCCAGAACATGAAATCTCCTTGATGATAGAAAATATGAATGATTTGAATAAACAATTAATGCCTTTCAAAATAACTTTTACAAAATATTTTCAAAGATGCTAATGGCTTTCCATAACTTTTAAGTCCAACTTAGAGTTAAGTTCTATTTAGGATCTTTGTGAAACACCCCCCTGGTTGAAATGGAAAGTCGATATAATATAATATTGCGTCTTTCAATGACATAAGTGATAAAAAAACGTATAATTAATATGTTGTCCCATTAAGCCTATAGATAGCATCGTACAGATCGAGCGATATTCAAACTTAAATCGAAAACTTAAGCTGTGGTATTCTCGAAAGCGGACTAACTTTAGTCCATGGTTTAATCGACCGACCAAGTATGGAATGCGAAATGTCCATCTGAATATGTTTTTTTAATAACTTAATCTGTCACTAAATTTAAATAAAATGTAACAAAATAATCAATAAACAACAATATAACTATGATATAATTATGTTATCATGGTAATTTAGGAACATATCAAATTATTCAAATATATATTCATATGGACACTTGGCATTCCAAAACCATGGACTAAAGTTAGTCCGCTTTCGAGAATACCACCCAAACTGTCTCTATTCATAATTAAATCAACCTCTCCTGTGTTCCCCTAATTATATTGTTCCTTTAACTTATTCTTTCATTCACTGTATATATACTTATGATTATGAATGTTTACATGGGACACCCGGGGCAACTAACAACTATCAATTGCACTTAATGCAATGTAGATTATATTTCATATTTAAGTGTTTCCAATCGTAGTTGTTTGGAATGACAAATCCCCCCCCCGCCCCCCCCCCCCCCCAAAAAAATAATGGAAGAGCCACAGGAATGGCCAGATGCCCCATTTCCCCTTTTTTTTCTTCTTTCGGAGACCCGTTTCTTGCAAAATGGCTATGCTCACTTTTACATGTACGCTATAATAATTTCAATTCCACATCAGCTTAAAGATGATTTATTTATGTTAATGTTGATGTAGGAAAGATAATTTCATATTGAATATCAGTTTTCAAATCTTAATTTAAAATATACCGTAGGGCCAACTTTCTTTCCTTTGTTTTCTTCTTCCGAGTGTTGCACATTCTTAGCACTTTCCCATTAAAAGGGCAAGATTCATATAACAATGCAATTGATTTATTTTCTGAAAGACCTTGGCAATTTAACAATCGAATACAACAAATTAACACTAAGAGAAAAAGGGGTACAATGATGTCACTAATTAACTTCAGAACATGGACAGTTTTATCGAAGATTATTCTTTTAAAGAGCTTAAAAATCGGCGAAAATAACATAACAGGGGCAATAGCATACTGTTATCATGTACAATAATGTCCAATAAAATATATTATTGCAATTTGTATAAGTTGTAGTGCAAAAAAAAATGTTTAGTATTGTCGCTCATCTCAGTTATTGTAATAAATGGTTCAACTGTAATAAAAAATTACATGTCTTTTCTCCTCCTTAAATGATTTTCTCTCAAAAATTATTATTAAAGGCATATCGATAAATGATACACTGAAAACCGTAATACTCGTTATATTGTTCATTACTGTCGCTCATCTCAGTTACTGTCTTTAAAAGAATATTTTTGAGAGAAAAAAAAAGTATTCTTTTTAGGAGGAGAAAACAAGGTTGTAATATATATATTACAGTTTCGCCTAATGATTCGAGGTAGAGAAAAACGATCCTTTTCACCTTGATTTCATTTTGTACACACATTCAATTAGAAGAAAAGACGCCTTCCACTTTGTTATTAAAAAAAAAGCATCCCTAAAATTCCAGCGTTGGCAGATTGATTTCTGATCAGAATATTTCGAGAAGAGCGACTCAGGGGCAGTTTTCAATAATTTTCGTATATCTAACTGAAATCATTTAGGCATTACCGTCAACCTTAAGTGCTTTATGGTTTGCACGTTTCAATATGCAACTGCCTTGGCGGATAGATTTCTTGGAAAGTTTTTTTTTCGGTCGTGATATTATTCATTCAGATCAAACAAGCACTCTAGCCACAAAACACTTTTAATCTAAGGCTCGATTTTCAACACCATGTTAGCACGGGGGCATGATACATTTTTTAGTTCAACATTTTCACTAATTAAGAATTAATATCAAGAAAGACACTTTCAGCGTGGTTTAAAAACTTATTTACCATTCCTGTTTCATAATAAACACCGTAGATAGTTATTAGTTCAACATTTCACTAAGAGTACGGAGGAAGGCACTTGGAGCGTGGTATTAAAACTTATAATCCCACTTTTAAAAACCCAACCACCGCATAAAATAGTCCCGCGCGGACCAGTCGAGTTAAACAGCTGACGAATCAACACGTATATACTAGGGCAATAAAATAGTTCCAACGAGAAAGAACCTACTAGCCGCCTGAAACTGCATATTGACATATGATTGAAATCATGCATCTTCGCTCGTGAGCACGCGATGCAAAGACAAATTCCATTCAAGGACATGTTCAATACCGTAATGCACATCCGGTAGAAACAATGATCACACTATGAACATGACGGACAAAGAAAGAGGACAAAAATATACAGTTCCTCATTCTACCCTCAACAATTGCTGTGGTAGACAAAGGAACATCCCTTCACTGCTATTATGTAAAAATGTGTAGAACAGTTATCACATGCATATTCACCTGTTCTACACATTTTTACATAATAGCAGTGAAGGGATGTTCCTTTGTCAACCACAGCAATTGTTGAGGGTAGAATGAGGAACTGTATATTTTGTCCTCTTTCTTTGTCCGTTCTTTGTGACAGTGCCATTAGTGTTCGCACATGACAAAATATGATGGACATGATAATGCTAATGGCATTATTGAAAATGACTTAGATTCAATTTTTTCGAATGTCTTTGCGGTCATATTGTATGCAAATCACGCTTTGGATTTATTTAAAACAGACTGTTATTGCATTGGAATTAAAAAGGTAATTAAAGTTCCCCAAAACACACACCAACAAAACTGGATAATATAGGGCAACAACAACTACAAACAAACGATATGATGGCATTTTCACTTGCTGTTTAGGATCGTATATACAGACACGACAAACCAACCGTTGCTACCAGCCGTTTCATCTATATAGACTCCCGATGTCGCACTCATTTTTCTCGAAGTCGACGCCGGCAAGTTTAACTCTTGTACAAATCCCTGTCATCTACGATCTGTTTCGCAAAATGAAAATGGAGAGAAGTAGATATAAAATATTTCAAAAAAGAACGTTAGTGTACAAATATGTTTGTGAGGAGAAATAAAAAGATCGATGTCAGCTACGATCAGTTTCGCAAAATGAAAATGGAGAGAAGTAGATATAAAATATTTCAAAAAAGAACGTTAGTGTACAAATATTTTTGTGAGGAGAAATAAAAAGATCGATGTCATCTACGATCAGTTTCGCGAAATGAAAATGGAGAAAAGTAGATATAAAATATAAAATAAAAGAACCTTAGTGTACAAATCAATCTTGTGGGGAGAAAGAAAAAAAAAATGGTATTTGGGTCTGTTTTAATTGACGAAAAGAAGGGTGAATAATTATAGACCAATTATTTTAGTCTCTCTTGCGTGCCTTTGTTTCTTTATTTTAAAGCATTTATCTCATTTAACGTGCGTGGGTGTGAGAATAGGGAAGAGTGCTTAGCAATTCACATATCATCATCCAATTTCCGTCATCTTTCTTTCTCTCACTTTTTCATATATTTATTTTCGATGAGGGTTTAGGGGAACAGGAGGGGGGGCGGTCCCCTCGTTAAAATACGTATCTAATGGAATAAGAACCATATACCACATTGCATTTTAGAAATTGAGGTTTCCGAGGAAAGGGCGGCCGGAAGAAATATGAAAAAGAAGAAAAAATGACCTTCCACCGCATAAGCTAAAAACTAGAATAACATACACACACCCATGCGTACGCACACACACAAATATATTTAGAGAGAGAGAGAGAGAGAGATGGATATGTATTTTACATGCTTTTTTTGTAAAGGTATTGCTCGCTTGTATCAGAAACAAGTCATCATAAAACATTCGTTTCATACTTAAAAATAACCTCAACACCATTTCACTATCTATTTTAATTCGATGCTTTAAAAAAAATCTTATTGAACCTTATTATGACATTTCATAGCAGGAAATATAAGTTTTTGTTTTGTTGTCATCATTAATTCATCATCATTATCATTATTATTATATTTTTAATTATGACTTCGTTTTATTTTATTCGATAGTAAAAATGATGATTCGCCTAATGGCATTAAGTTTGTCAAATATTACGAATATTTGTATCAATATCACTATATTGGCAAAAGTAATAATGTAAGGCAGAAGTAAATGATGAAAAATTAAAGAATTACAATAATATTTTAAGACGGGCAGCAGTGTTCTAAATAGTCCTCAAATAGTTTGCATAAGTTACACAGACCAAATTCTTTTAAAAGCACGTTTAATTTAGACATTCGTATATACCTTTACTGTTTAATACATAACTTCAGCGCGGAGACATGCAGTTATTCAACACAAATATTTTACTTTCTTACCCATTCTTCCGGTAACTGAGAGCGATTTAAACAAAACGAAAGTTTTGATAATTAGGTTTTGGTTTTAATATGTTTAATAAGAACGGCAGAAGCTATTAAGCAAATAACTACCGTTGGTGAAGGTGATGGAACAAACCGTCATTTTAGAGCAACAAGTCATCTATTAACAGCTAGCAAACGGTGTACGATACGTACAGTGCATGCAGTACTTTACAAGAAAGTGCGTTGCACTGTGTAGATAGTACTATCTACACAGTGCAACGAACTTTTCTTCTCCCATCAATGACGGTCGAATTATCTTTCATCATGTGATTTACTTTTGTCCAATCGTAGAGCAAGATTCTTAGTATGTGGAATATAATATTTAATATATTTACGCACCTCATACATCGGAGAGATGGGAACAAAATGCAAATGATATAAACAAAAAGACGAAGATATTATGGAAGCAATCGTAATTTGAAGAGGGAGGGAATACGAATAAGTAATAAAGACAGCAGTGTATGAATCTTGAAAAGTTAAAATACATGTTAGAAAATGGGTTATATAAACAGGGATATAATTAGAAGGAAAAAATGTAGTTTCATATGTAAACTAGCTATAACAAAATGAGAAAAAAAAAATCTCAATAGAGAACGAAAAAGAAAATGATGGAGATGAAAACATCAACTGCGTTTACTGAATTAAAGAGTTGCTATATTGCGGGGAAAAGAATTAAACCCCCAAAATGAGGAAAAGACAAAAAGAAATATTGTGGAAAAGCAATGAAACAATTCCTCACCTCTGATCTCTCCGGACAACAGCACGCTATACAGAATATGAAGAGGCAGAAAAAGATGAAAATGAAGGCGAAGATACTAATTATCCCGAAAGGAGCCATAATTAATAACCATTCATCGTAATCTATCGGTTCCCGCGTGGGAGCATAGACAGTCGCATTCCCAGTTGAATTCCCAGTTGTATAGTACCCTGTAGTCATAATTGATGTCGAGTCGCTCGTGTTAACTGTACTGTTGCCATCGGGGGTAGTAGATACGGCATCCGTGCTATTGTCTGAAGTCATGTTTGATGACGTCATATTGGCACCACCTGCGTCCATTGTCTCATTGGATGTAGAGTTACTGCTGGCGGTTGCGTTTGTTGATGTGGTTTCATTAGCTGATGACGTCATGTTTGATGACGTCATATTGGCACCACCTGCGTCCATTGTCTCATTGGATGTAGAGTTACTGCTGGCAGTTGCGTTTGTTGATGTGGTTTCATTAGCTGATGACGTCATGTTTGATGACGTCATATTGGAACCACCAGCGTCCATTGTCCCATTTGATGTAGAGTTACTGCTGGCGGTTGCGTTTGTTGATGTGGTTTCATTAGCTGATGACGTCATGTTTGATGACGTCATATTGGAACCACCAGCGTCCATTGTCCCATTGGATGTAGAGTTACTGCTGGCGGTTGCGTTTGTTGATGTGGTTTCATTTGCTGATGACGTCATGTTTGATGACGTCATATTGGAACCATCAGCGCTCTGGGCATCTGTCACTGGCAATGGAGTTGCAGTCACGGCGATAGAAGTGGTCATATTCATGGATGTCTGCGCTGCCGGGATCTCAAGGAAATAACCGCCTTCGTAGAGCGGCCACGCTGGGACTCCTACTGTAGCCATTGAGCAGACGATGGTGAGGAGTGCCAAGATGGCGAGACCGCGTGTACTCTGTATAATAATGATAATAATAATAATAATAATAATCTTTTAAAGTCCACTCAAAATGTTATTAAGTTAAACAGAAAATGGAAATTCTTTTTGCCCAATTATTGATCGTGAGCCCGGCAGCCACTGAGCAGCGCCATATCGACGTTGCTCTATCCCCTATTGTTGAACGCCAAACAAGGTAGCAGCAACTCCCGTCTTTTGACGTCTTTTGGTATGACGCGGCCGGGGTTCGAACCCACGACCTCCCGGTTGTATAAAGATCATAATAGAGATCGTAAGGCAAATTACAAAAATAACGTGTTTCTCGTCCGGAAGGAAGAGGTAGGGTATTACTTTTTTACGATTTGTTTTCTTCCAAGATGACTGCCAGGCTAATCATAACATCAAGAGAAGAACACCATAAAGGGTTCTGGCTTAATTAGCGCAATGTGTGAATTTATATTTGAATCAAGGATTCCTGCGTAACTGTCTAAAATAAGCATGTTATCCCTTTTAAATATAGGCCTACACCTGTACTTAGGCTTGTACGTTACATTAAGCCTAAACAAAATTTAAAAATGATTTTTTTTTTTTTTTTTTTTTTTTTTTTTTTTTTTTTTTTTTTTTTTTCATAATTATAATCATCGACCATTAAGGAATTATATAAATCTGGACGTGGTTTAATTTGTGAAATGAATTGTTGATTTCAGATGAGTATAAAGAAATCGTCCTGTAAGTTTATGACAAAAATATAAGAAAAAAGAGCGCAACAGGTGAGAGAAGGATCAAGGGAAAAGAAAGAAAGAAAGAAAGAAAGCGCAATTAAGAAATTGGAGAGCTGTTGACAAGGCATAACGGGATAAATACTTACGCAGTCGTCATCACTCATCGTTTTAGCGATGTATATAGCAGCTAATCCTGTTCCCAGTGCCTAAAATCAAGAATAATACATTTATATTACACTGGATGATTCCATTTTGAAGGTACAGTAACGACTACATTATTCATAGCCCTTGTAAATTTAATGTGCTGTTATGTGTCTTTGTACGTAACTCAAGAAAGATAGATTGACTGGCTCAATAAGGGCCTTTGGTGGATACTTTTAGATGTAAGCTTTAATATATCACATTCTCAATAAACATAAATCGGGGCAAATTAATTTTTAAAAAACGTCAAGAGTTACAAAACTGGGCAACGATACGAATTTGTTTAGTAACTGTATTTACAATATGAACGTGAAGCAACAGTTTATGAAATGCTGAAACGGATGGCTCAAGACCGAGGTACTTGGAGAGACATTTGATGTAGAATTCTGTTTGAGTCACTGAACCTGTCATACTGAAAGATCACCACTGATGATGATGTACAACATATATATATATATATATATATAACAAAAGTAATGCATTTGGAAAAGCAATTAATACATTTGAAACGAAAATCATTGAGACTTCAATTTGCTATTACCGGTTCCAATTTCTTTGAAGACAAAAACATCAATTATAATAATAATAATAATAATAATAACAACATTTATAATGTTTAACATATCCATCTCTAGATATACACATGGCGCATAAAAATAATTCAATTTAATATTCAACATACTTAAGATTAAAGAAATATTAAAATGTAACTTACATTAGATCACACAACTTCATGGTGCCATGGTACATACACTATAGCCTAATTTTAAAAGTAGAAAGAGTGTTTGCCCTCCGAATAGAGAGGGGTAACTTATTCCACAAGGAAAGAGCTGCTGATGCACTTGCTCTATCCTCCCAATTTCCTTTGGTAGACCTACGTATTTAGTTAAGCCTAACAATATGTGATGAACGTAAAAAAGGGACCCGTTTCACAAAATCCTTTTTTAATGAGAAATGACAAATATCAGTAACATATCTGCTAATAATAACATATAATAATAATATTCCGTTTTGTATATAGCGCTCTATACATCGATCCAATCATGTGCCTAAGCGCTTTACAGATATATTATTACCCCGGTCATCGGATTCAGGCTTACCCGCACACAATGTAGGCATATACACATTTCCCACTCACTGGAAGCAATAATAGGAGCAAGGCTTTCAGTAGCTTATAACAACAACTGTCACTTGTCACTGATGACAAGTTTTGTGAAACGTTCCCCAGAACGAACAAATAATAGGGACTTTTAGATTCAGCACGACGAGAACGCGGACTGCCCCTTGTGATGTGACGTCACTGCCAGTGCCTTAAAAGGACGTCACATTGCCTTAATATAAAAGGGCAGCCCACGTTCTCGTCGTGCAGAATCCTAAAAGTTAATAATGTTACACTAACCACGATCCCGGTGGTGACCACCAGGTAAGCATACAGGATGTACTCGGTGAAGACATCGGGGAGGGAGATGACATCGAAGTAGAGGTCGGAGAGGAATCCGATAGCGATGCCAGCGAGGGCAAACACGGTCCCGAAGAGGAAGAGGAGGGCTCCGAAGACCTTGAGCGACCGGAGTCTGCATCCGAGCGAGTCGAAGCTACAGCAGCGGCAGCATGGTTTACACATGGTGAATGTATGCTGATGATTGAAATAAAAAAAATTGAAATTATTGAAAATATTTACTATATGTTTCTTATCTCATTAGTATGCTTCGTACATGTTTATTGTATGATATAATTGAACATAATTTTCTATTTAATTACTTGTGTTAACATTTTATTCATTGTATTCGTTATTGTTCGAATTTTTGTATCCTGAATTTGAATGATGGTGATGGTGGTGTTGATGGTGGTGGCGATGATGATGATTTTGGCGATAGTGGAAGTGATGATGATGATGATGATATATGACGATGATGGCAATAGCACATTTGCACATAGGACGAATGGTGGATGAATGGGGATGACTGGAATAGGAGGTGGAAAAACCCACAATGACATCATTATCATCATCATAAATGACGGTATCAAGAATAACAATGATATAATGATGGTAATGATGGTAATGTATATGGTAATGATGATGATAAACAGTGATTAAGATGCAATGACAGCACTTGCACAGGATGACCATGACGATGACCTTGTAGGAAAGGAAGTCATACATATAAAATAATGAAAACATTATTAATGTTAGGAGCAACGTCGATCTGGCGCTGCTCAGTGGCTGCTGGGCTCACGATCAATTGGGCAAAAAGAATTTCCGTTTCGGTTTAATAAAATTTGGAGTGGACTATTAGGCTATTATTATTATTATTAGATCAAGAAAGGTGATAACATCAATAAAAATAATGAAGATAATAATATTAATAATAATCAAAATAACTATACCGTACTTAAATAAAAATAAAATTAAAAATAAGATTAATAATAACAATGAAATATGAGAAAGACGAAGAAGAATATAAAGAATAAAAACAACAACAACAGAAACAACAACAACACTATTTATCATCGTGATTATCATTAGGCCCTACATAATCATCAAACATTCTTTCATCTATACAACCTTATCATTTTTCATTTCATTTCATTTCATTTATTTATTTAAACACGGAGGCCTACCTCAGCCCGCGGACTGTTCTTCTGTAGGGCCGTGCATATACATAAAAACATACAATATCAAAATAAAATATATACAACATAATTCAACATAATAATGGTAACATAAATATATACAAAACAAAAATAACATACACTAAAAATAAATATGAAATATTAAAAGGGGATGGGGATTACTCATTAAGGGCTCTTGGTTCCATATACTTATTTAGATTACGTTTGAAATCTATAACAGATAACTCACGTTTAAGTTCTGGTGAGATTGAGTTCCAGCATTTCGCACCGAAATAGCTGAAACTCTTTTTTTTTAAACATGTTTTTAATTTAGGTAGTACAAAATTATTGATTGAATTTCTCATATTATAATTACATTTTTTTAGTTCAAATAAATCTAGCAAGTAATTAGGACAATTATGATTAGCAATTGTATACATGTAAAGGGCATGTTTATCTCTTCTTTTTTCTAAAAAATCAAGCTTTAACTGCTGAAACAGAGAAATTGTAGAATATCTGGCATCAACTTTTAATATAATTCGGAGGGAGGGCTCTATTCTGGAGGACTTGAAGCTTCTTAACAGATTTTTTTCATAATATTTCGCCAAACCACATCACAATAGTCAAGTTTACTTTGTAATATTGTTTTATAAAACATAAGTGCAATATTCTGAGATATATAGTTCCTTATTCTTTTAAATAGGTACAGCTTTTTAATAATATCTTTTCTCAGAAAATTAACATATTCATCCCAATCGAGATTGTGATCTATTATATACCTAAGTATTTGCAATGATCTATTTGATTGAGTTTTACATCATTAATATAAATATTAATCGTTCGATTTTTAACTTTGGTTCTAGATCCAATTAACGTGACCTCACATTTTTTAGTATTGAGAAATAATTTGTTTGAATTCAACCATTTTGAAAGACGTATAAGATCAGCATTAATGACATTTTCAATAGTTTCTGTTGTTTTACCAGGGTAATATATGCATGTGTCATCAGCGTACAACGATATACTACATCTTTTAATAAAATTAGATAAATCATTAACATATATGGTAAAAAGTAGGGGGCCTAAATTGGCCCCCTGAGGAATTCCACAAATTACATTCAGTTCGTCTGATTTTACACCATTTACAACCGTGTACTGTCTTCTATCAGTCAGGTAGTTAAGGAACCATTCACAAGCCCTTTTGTCAAGTCCAATCAATTTCAGCTTATCAAGGAGGATAGCATGGTCAACCGTGTCGAAAGCCTTTTTAAGGTCGATTGTGACCATTCCAACAATGTCCCCTTTATCCAAACTATCCAACCAGTCTTCTGTGACATTCAGAAGGGCAGTCGCCGTTGAGTGCTGAGGCCTAAATCCGGATTGCTTCACGTCAATAATACTATTAGACGATAAATAACTATATAATGGATTAAAAATAAGCTTCTCGAGTATTTTTGCTATTACTGATAGTATTGAGATTGGCCTATAGTTTCCCATTTCTGACCTCTGCCCATTTTTGTGGACAGGTATAACTCTAGAGCATTTTAGCTGGGTTGGTATTTTTCCCGTTTGTATTGTTAAATTGAAAATATACGCTAAGGGTTTTGAGATGATATTAGCTACTGGTTTCAATAGAAGAGAAGGAATATTGTCACTTCCTGACGTTTTCTTAGGGGGTAAATTTTTAAGAACTTCAACTATCTGTTCTTCTGTGATATCTTCGAAGGTACATGTACAATCGTATTTTCTGATATACTCTTCAAATTGCTTATCGACAAAAGATGATTTTTCTTGCAAGGAAGGGCCAACTTCAACAAAGAATGAGTTAAAAGCATTTGCTATGTCTTTTTTGTTACGCAATTCCTTTGCATCCTTTTCAATACACTTAATTTCATCTGTAGACTTAACAGGCATTAGACGCTTAAGGGATTTCCAAACCTTTCCTGAATTTCCAGTACTTTCAACAACACTTTTAGTAATGAATGGTGCTTTTGCCTTTCTTATTTTCATTGTAATCTGGTTCCTAAGCCGTCATAACGTTCTTATGTGCTCCAAAGGTGCTTCTTCAAACGTGCTGTATAGTATTGCTGCTTTGTAGCAATTTAGCATCAAAAAAGAAGAAGAAATTAAAGAAGAAAAGCCCGCACATAATTATACTTGGTTCACTATGATTAGCTACAAAAACTGCCTGTAAACCAACTCCAAAACGAACCCTACGTGTAGCACATGTATCTAACCCTTATTCTAACTCCAATCTTAATACTGGGCTCCAGAGTTGTAGTCAAGGACTGGTTTTTCGAAACCGTCATATATATCAACCAACTGGAACACTTGTTATGGAATCAACAAAGTAACTGGGATTAATTACAGTTTCGAAAAAAATAAAAGGCACACCCAACGCAAAATTATAAAGGGATTATCCTTACAAAAAACCCAGACAGTAGTTTACTTCAAAAAAACTATAAAATTATGTGTCCTCGTACTTGATCTGTATTCTTGATAACGAGTTCGTACTGAGTCATGCATTCTTTCACCAAATACAAACATTGTTGTTCCATTGGCTACATGAACGGAGAATGCCCACATACATGACTTGTATAATAGGGCAGCGTTTCACAAAACCGTCACGAGTACAAGTTTACCGACATCCCATTGAAGTACGTGTATTAGGTTTAACACGTGTTTCAACTGGATGTCGGTGAACTTGTACCAACGACGGTTTCATGAAACGGCACCATGGTGGATAATACTATTGTGGGGGATTTAGTGGCGGAGGACGGTTTAAAAGAAAAAATCACAACAAAAGTGAGATCCGTGTTTCGATCTCGTGAAAGAAAATATGGTATGTATTCTACTACATTCAAACATGCCATGGTTGCCCACCTATCCATAAAGGCCACCTGCATAAAGCGGTCACACATACTTCCTCCCTCTAGAAGAGCGCGCCAAAGGACATATTGAGAAAGGCCACCTGTTTTAATACTTATTGTATTTCCATTGTGTGGCCTTTATGGACAGGTTTGACTGTAGAAATGTATACCCGACGCTGGGCTTCAAATCAAAATCTCCCGAATCGGACTTTGGAAAGAACGGTGGTTGAAAATCTATAAGTTTCCTTTATAAAACTTGTACTTATAGTCCCATGATCGGGCTTAACTTAATTAAAAGAAAACGGACCGAAATGTAAAACGAAACTATTGATTTGTGCTCATATCAGCAGCTGTATAGGGCCTTTGAGGGAGTTTTTAATCCGGGGGGTATTAATCCCTTTTAATCCTTAATCCTATTTAATGACTTCCATAAAACAATAGGGAAGAGGAAATGAAATTTAACGAGGTATTTCCGGTCAGGAAGTGTGTTAATTAATGCAGGTAGTCCTGTCAGGATGTGTGTGAATTAATGCAGGTAGTTTTTTCATGGAAAGGGGGGGGGGGGGGGCATCTGGGTCATAAAACTTGAATTATGAGGGTCTTTCCTCTGGAGGAAGTGTTTACATCATGGAGTCATCATCATGGGAGAGGTCTGGGGATGGACGTGTTACGGGTAGGACGGGCAATGACCAAATGACCAAAACAATGGGCCTGTGCCAGTTATGTTGTTTGTACGCAGGTACGTACGTATCCGAGCAATGAGAATGCGAGGATCCTTCTTGTTGGAGTGACGTCACCATTGTGCGTGCTTGTGATTGGATGAGGGAAAAAGGAAGGGGTGACTGAGAGGGCGTAACCTAAGGGGTGAGGTAAGGTATAAACGTCGGAGGATTCGCACCATTTTACATCATAGACATCAGCGCTAAATTAGTGAATCATGCATGAGCCATTCATAGCTAATTAGCATTAATTAAAAGAACAATAGACTAATTAAGAGCTCCTTCCCCCATTTCCATCTTGAATTAGCAATTTTTCCTCTTTGATTGTCAGAAGAGCGGAAATTTTCAGACGCTGCGAATGGATGATTTCAATTAATCGTCTTGCTTTTGATTGGTGAAAGAAGACCCATGCTTGGTGGTGATTGGGCAACTAATTAAAGGAGTGCGTTGTGGAGCATTGAGACGTGTAGTGAAGAGACTAAATATACACCAGGGTGGTGTTGAGATAAGGTATCACATTCAGCACTGAGCTACAATTCGTTCTTTGAAAGCATCTCTATAGCATATACCACACGTAGGTCTAACTCTTCATATATAACCATGATGGCCACTCGCTCACCGAAAAAGTCTACCACTACAACAGCCACCATCCACAACACTGTGTTAAACACGCCTAAGATCAGGATGATACCAGAGAACAACGCCACCAATGTCTTACATCGGGCCAGTTTTTCAATGTCTCCGGTGGAGCAGAAGAAGCTCAAACCAGCAACCCCTCCTGAACTCTTGGCAATGAGGGTAAGTGTCCATAGTCAAGTAATATACTGATTTGTTTTACAAATTCAATATATCATGTTATGCTATGTGTTATTAATTTTGATTGTAAACTTTTGTAATTCGGCTTAACGCCGCGATGAAAGTTTTATTTGAAATAAACCATTTTGAATTGATTTGATTGAATTATATTATATGTATACTCTTTAATTTAAATGTTAATACTATACCTTACTGTCTTTGAAAATAAGAGTATCTTTGCATTAATAGATGCATTGCAAGTGAACTGCGTGAGAGAAGTGAAGCATGCGTATGCATTCCAACAAACTCGATTTAAAACAATTATATTCACGGTGTTGTCTTCTTTTCTTCTTTTTTTTTGTTGTTGTATCATAGGCACAAGGTGACAGAAAATGCGAAAGTTGGATTACGGGTAAGGAAGAGGCGGGGTGTCATTTTAGTCAGGAGATAATTAACGTGGAAAAATGTAAATTTGAAGCAGGTTCGAAACCATTTCATTTGGGTGGGAAGCGTTTTGCTGTAGTCAAGAAATTCAGGGGAGTCCCATACGTGAACATTCGAGAATACTACAACACGAAAGGTACTAACAGGATGCTCCCGGGGCAGAAGGGTATCAATTTAACGGGAGAAAATTGGTGGAAATTGGTCGAGGCCAAATTTGAAATCAGCGATGCTGTTAGAGATTTGAGTAACGTGAAGAAATAGTTTTACAACTTGATGTTTTTGTTTGGGGTTTTGGTTTTTTGATAATACAACATAATAAACAAAAAGGAAGAATAAAAAAGAAATTAAAAAAAGTAGATAGTTCAAAAAATACCTGATTGACGCTCCTCCCTTTTTCCGTGACCAGGATACAATCGCCGAAAATGAATCAAAAACTTTCAAGATCCTTGCTCACTGCACATGGACAGCTATCTCCTTCACCACCACTCACACCAGAAGTCGCGATTATCGGATATTCTCCATCGAGACCCCCAGTTGTCCGCCAACTGCGGAGGCAGAATGCAGTCATAGAAGGAGTGACTACCCCAAGGGGAACAAGCAGACCTCCATCTCCATCATCCTCCTCGGGTCAGATGGAAGTAGACGTACCTGAAAAGGTCCTAGAAGTCTCCAGAAACTTAGCAGAAAGCGAGGAGATGGAGGTGGCTGCGGAGGAAGAGGAGGAGGAAGAGAAGGACGACAGACTAGACACAGATGTCAGATTGCAGGAGACGGTGACGATGGAGGCGAAAGACGGCATACATTTTCCTGTAGCACCTGTCCTACACTGTAATAGCCGTCAAGGCAGTTTCGGGTCTTATAAACGAGGCGGTGCATCAGTCGTGCACAGGATGCAGACTCAACTATCCTAGCCAGAAAGACCATGAGGACTGTATGTAGTTAGAGTGGCCAGACAAGACAGACAAGTATTTCGATGAGGCCATCACTAAGCTCACCGAGGAACGATACTTTTGCATCGTTAAATTGGTTTACATCGTGATCGTGAATAAAATGTTTGAGGAGGAGTTGGACGCTTGCGTGCATGGAAGGAGCCACACATTTGTTCACAACGAACTGAAAAAGAAGGACGTTTTGTCAATCATCATGAGCAAACTAAAGGAGCTTTAACCGGAAATTTTAAAAAGTGGATTTCGTATACCCTTTTGAAGTAATGTATCCACGTTGTTTGTTTTTTAAACAAAAATTCTTTATAATGTATGGGTTAAATAAAAGTAGCAATGACGTTTGCGAATGAAAAAAAAAATAGAACATTACTTTTGTTGCATTCTCATATTTTCGTGCAAATAGTTTTCCCGCTTGCAACCAGATTGAAGTGTATGCTGAATGTCATTGGTGATGTGCACGTGGACGTGACGATTGGGTATTGGAAGAATACGTGGGAAAGATATACTCATCCGAAGCATGAAACTGATATTAGTGGTGGTGAGAAACTATTTCGATTTGTCAAGAAAGAAGGTGTGATTGAGATGTCGAGAAAACAAATAAAGCAATGACTGGAAAGTGATGTTACCTTGGTGTTACCTATACTATTCATCGTCCGTTGTGAGACGGAAATTTATGAGAAGTAGAGTCATAGCGTATGGGATAGTTGATGTATAGCAGATGGACTTGGCGGATTTGCCACTTGAAATGACATATGTAAAGGTAGCAATAGGAAAATGATTAGACGTTATAATTTTGACAAGACACTGTGATTCGTGTCTTCGCGTAACGTCTCTTTCAATTATTCGATTATTTTACCTACTTGAGACAATGATCAGCAGTCTGATTTTTTTAAAATTTTTTTATAAGCAGTTGACACGAATTAGTTCTCTCTTTTATTAGAAATGTAAACAAATAATGATCAAACTTTTTGCACTTTTATTTATGCTATGGCGTCATTGGTTTTCTTAAGACAAGTACAAGTATTTGTCTCTTGTAATGTCTATTCAGTGTAGACACAAAGCGCGTATTGATACCAAAAAGAAGAAAAAAAAGCGATAACAATTACCAATTGAGAACAAATATAGGTTATAACAGGTTATGGAATCGCTAACTGCAAATGATTTTTTTTTTTTTTAAACAGAAACATAAATAATGTGTACGACAAAACGGCAGAGTAATTTTAAGTCTATAGACGTTATGATATTCGTATGACATACTTATATTTAATTACGTCTTGCTTTACGTTCTGCCTTATAAAGAACTTTCAAACTATGGAAACTTGTGAACCCACAGTTGATTGATTTATTATTAAATTGTTGACCACTATCTTTTGGACAAAACAAAATCAATTTCACAAACCAATAATTTTTTTTGTTTTCACTTTGAAAAATTGATGCAAAAAAAAAATGTTAACGCCTGTTCGCTTTTTTTAAAATTTGTTTTAAAAATTTTGTTTTAACTTTTTGTCAAGACGTTATTTATTTTTCTTTGAAAAAGTGTTATGACTTTTTCTTTATAAGATTGTTTTGCACGAGTCGATCATTCTCCACCTCCCCCTTTGAAGTCTTGATGTAGAACAAAAAAAAAAGCATTAGCGCCTGACTTGACGTACAAAGAGCATTTGCGCCTTTACACCTTCTTAATTTTTTTTTCTTTAAACAAAAAAAAAACTTTCTGTCATTACGTTTTAAAAAGTTTCATAATATATATATATATTTTTTTTGTAGATCATTTTGCACGAACCGATCATATTTTTTTTCTTCTTTGAAGACGTGATTCTTTAAAGGCGTTATTTCTTTTTCTTTAAAAAAGATGTATAACTTTTTCTTTAAAAGATAATTTTGCACGAATCGATCTTTTTTTCCACTTTGAAGACTTGATGCAAAAAAGTGTTAACGCCTGTACGCTTTTTAAAATTTTGTTTTAACATTTTTGTTTTGTTTTAACTTTCTGTCAAGATGCTTTTTTTTTTCTTTAAGTGTTATAACTTTTTCTTTATAAGATTATTTTGCAGGAGTCGATCATTTTTTTTTTGTTGTTGATCATTTTGCACGAACCGATCATTTTTTTTTTCCACTTTGATTCTCTCAAGACGTTATTTCTTTTTCTTTGAAATAGATTTTATACTTTTTTTTTTTAAAGATCATTTTTGCACCAACCGATCTTTTTTTTCCTACCACTTTGAAGACTAGATGCAAAAAAACAAAAAAAAAAAAAGTGTTAACGCCTGTAGACTTTTTTTTATTTGTTTTAAATTGTTTTGATTTAACTTTCTGTCAACAATGAGATGTGTCTCCGTAAAATCACGAAGACGCATCTCGCTAGGCGAGATGCTTCTACATCTCAACGCATTCTACTATGCAAGACTTGTATTGAAAGCAGATTTCTACACCTCATGTTTTTTATGTTATCTGAAATTTCTTGGCAATCGGTTTGTCGAAGAATGGAGTACCACATTTTATCTATAATATGCATACAATCCACACACCAATTTTTGTATACCTTTGGAGCTGAAAACAATTATTATTCCGAGAATTCTGTACCAATGTTCATTTATACGAGACATGCGGAACATTCCCTACTCTTAATCACAAGACCTACTAAGGTTCACTCATGTGGAGCACCCTATCGCCTGAATTACGTACAAGTATATTATCTTCATTATCATTGAAGATGTAATATGAACAGATAAGTATTGTGAATGCCCTCTGAGAAACGATTTCTGTCTTTTGATTCATATTTATATTGATATTGTATGACTGTATTGTCATATTTTGTAAACCTGTTTTTTTGGAGTTATGCTGTGTCATTGTTCTAAATCTTAGTTTTGAATATTGTTGTACTTTATTCTTGTTTCTATTGTATTATAATTTATATAATATGTTTTTTCATTATAAATGCATTTGAACTATAAAGACGGGGCCCCCTTCGAAGATCATTATTCGATATTAAAAGGGCCGTCCTGGCTATCAAAAAAAAATGACAAAAAATAAATAAAAATAAAAAATAAAATAAAAATATATACAATTCGTTTCTTAAACATGCATCCATATAAAAGTAGCTCTCAATCTTGTCGGAACTTGTACATTATTACGAGAAAAAAATTCATGTCGGGTCTGTATAGAAACAAGGAATAACGTCTTGACGGAAAGTAAAATATAAAAATAAAGTAAGAAAATGTACAGGTATTAATACTTTTTACATCAAGTCTTGAAATGGGGTTAAACATATCGAATCGTACAAAATGATCCAACAAATTATACAAAATGTTAAAGAAAAAAAAATAACGTAATGAAAGAAAGTTTTAAAAAAGAAAAAGAAAGAAAGTGTACAGACGCCTTTGAGGGAGTTTTTAATCCGGGGGTATTAATCCCTTTTAATTACTTAATCCTTTTTAATGACTTCCATAAAACAATAGGGAAGAGGAAATGAAATTTAACGAGGTATTTCCGGTCAGGATGTGTGTTAATTAATGCAGGTATTTCCTGTCAGGATGTGTGTGAATTAATGCAGGTAGTTTTTTCATGGAAAGGGTGGCATCTGGGTCATAAAACTTGAATTATGAGGGTCTTTCCTCTGGAGGAAGTGTTTACATCATGAGTCATCATCATCATGGAAGAGGTCTGGGGATGGACGTGTTACTGGTAGGACGGGCAATGACCAAATGACCAAAACAATGGGCCTGTGCCAGGTATGTTGTTTGTACGCAGGTACGTATCCGAGCAATGAGAATGCGAGGATCTTTCTTGTTGGAGTGACGTCACCATTGTGCGTGCTTGTGATTGGATGAGGGAAAAGGAAGGGGTGACTGAGAGGGCGTAACCTAAGGGGTGAGGTAAGGTATAAACGTCGGAGGATTCGCACCATTTTATATCATAGACATCAGCGCTAAATTAGTGAATCATGCATGAGCCATTCATAGCTAATTAGCATTAATTAAAAGAACAATAGACTAATTAAGAGCTCCTTCCCGCATTTCCATCTTGAATTAGCAATTTTTCCTCTTTGATTGTCAGAAGAGCGGAAGTTTTCAGACGCTGCGAATGGATGATTTCAATTAATCGTCTTGCTTTTGATTGGTGAAAGAAGACCCATGCTTGGTGGTGATTGGGCAACTAATTAAAAGAGTGCGTTGTGATTAGTCGTGGGGTGTGGTGCATTGAGACGTATAGTGAAGAGACTAAATATACACCAGGGTGGTGTTGAGATAAGGTATCACATTCAGCACTGAGCTATACAATTCGTACTTTGAAAGCATCTCTATAGCATATACCACACATAGGTCTAACTCTTCATATATAACCATGATGGCCACTCGCTCACCGAAAAAGTCTACCACTACAACAGCCACCATCCACAACACTGTGTTAAACACGCCAAAGGTCAGGATGATACCAGAGAACAACGCCACCAATGTCTTACATCGGGCCAGTTTTTCAATGTCTCCGGTGGAGCAGAAGAAGCTCAAACCAGCAACCCCTCCTGAAATCTTGGCAATGAGGGTAAGTGTCCATAGTCAAGTAATATACTGATTTGTTTTACAAATTCAATATATCATGTTATGCTATGTGTTATTAATTTTGTTTGTAAACTTTTGTAATTCGGCTTAACGCCGCGATGAAAGTTTTCTTTGAAATAAACCATTTTGAATTGATTTGATTGAATTATATTATATGTATACTCTTTAATTTAAATGTTAATACTATACCTTACTGTCTTTGAAAATAAGAGTATCTTTGCATTAATAGAAGCATTGCAAGTGAACTGCGTGAGAGAAGTGAAGCATGCGTATGCATTCCAACAAACTCGATTTAAAACAATTATATTTATGGTGTTGTCTTCTTTTCTTCTTTTTTTGTTGTTGTATCATAGGCACAAGGTGACAGAAAATGTGAAAGTTGGATTACGGGTAAGGAAGAGGCGGGGTGTCATTTTAGTCAGGAGATAATTAATGTGGAAAAATGTAAATTTGAAGCAGGTTCGAAACCATTTCATTTGGGTGGGAAGCGTTTTGCTGTAGTCAAGAAATTCAGGGGAGTCCCATACGTGAACATTCGAGAATACTACAACACGAAAGGTACTAACAGGATGCTCCCGGGGCAGAAGGGTATCAATTTAACGGGAGAAAATTGGTGGAAATTGGTCAAGGCCAAATTTGAAATCAGCGATGCTGTCAGAGATTTGAGTAACGTGAAGAAATAGTTTTACAACTTGATGTTTTTGTTTGGGGTTTTGGTTTTTTGATAATACAACATAATAAACAAAAAGGAAGAATAAAAAAGAAATTAAAAAAAGTAGATAGTTCAAAAAATACCTGATTGACGCTCCT